CACAGAGGCAGACACAAAGGATAACCGGATCCTGTCGTCTGGGGAGCGGTGTGTCAAGTACCTCTTTCTGTTCCCAATCCCCATCTTTTTCAGGCCAACAGAAACTTGCAAAGAGTCTAGTCAAGATGAAACTAAATTAAATGCGGCTGAGGAGACAATTATTCTGCCATTTATCTCTCATATGGCATAAAGTTACAGAAAGTTCTATGTTTTTGAACTCGCTTTGAGCTGCTTAGCGACACGTGGCCAACCTGGCTAAGGTAAACTTTTTGTTTCTTTGGCCCATAGATGCGGTGTAAAGTGTATTAAGTATACGCCCTGATATTCCTCCCTGGTGGATACTTTACTTTTACTTACTTGTCGCCGGGCATATTAAATTTCCATCGCCAAAGTTGAATGAATGTTATGTTCAAGGCCTTCTTCCCCGAGGCGCTGGGCGCAGAATTGAATTAAATTGTGTGATTGAAGCATAAATAAATTCATTAAATACTTTGCCGAGATGCCATAAAAGCGGCCAAGTGTTTTCATTTCCAGCTAATATTTAAGGCATTCGATCGGATTTCCCCATCTCAGTTCAACAGGTCGCCGTAGGCAACCTTCTATAGGGCAAAAGAACGAAAGTCCTAGTCACAACTTGACCTTCCCAATGCGTCTTATTGATTCAATCATAAAAATAACTGCAGAATGTTTGTATTTCTTCTGCTTGTTTTTTTTTTGTTCTGCCTTTGTATATATATTTGTAAATGCCCCTGGCTTCGGCCACTCATTGCATCTTGTATTGGATATCTTGTATCTCAATGTCAAGGCTGTCTCGCAGCTGCCTCATTATGGATGAATTTCAATTGGACTGAGTGATTGACAATGAAGCCAACTGCAATGGGCGGTAGTTGATTGAAGGCTCAATGGATGCAGGTTTGGTTTTTAAATAAATATATGCTAAAGATCAGGGGTTTCTTAAGGGGAAACTGCAGAGTTTGTTCCGGGGAAAAAATACAATCTTAAATCGTTAAGAGGTTTTCATTTATTTTCCCAACATTCCCTTGCACACTTCCCTTATATAAATCATTCAGCTTTTCTGCCTTCATTCAGCCTTTCATTGAAGAAGTCCCAGCTTACGAGAGGATTAAATTAACTACCTATTAGCCTCTGGCCTGACCCTTGACCCTCCGAGCAGATGTATCTTTTTAAGCCACCTCCTTTTTTTGTCCAGGAACTCGTCGCTTATTATGCATCATTCTCATCAGCCGACGGGGGCCCAGTTAATTTCACCTTTCAGAGACTAATCCTGCAGACAGGATCGGACTTTATGCCCGCACATGCCAACAAGCTCGGCAGCATAATGCGTCAAATTGCTAATTAAGAACTGCAGCAGTGGCAACTTTTTGCCCCGATTAGTGGCCATGTCATTAGGGTCCAGAAAAAAAAGGGGCCAGAAACCTGGCCAAAAGAAGCGAAAAAGGTCTGAGCTTGCGTGTTAAGATATTTGATTATGACAAACAGCCACACATACGCTGGTACACACACTAACACACACACATACCAATTAGCTGAGGGCGTGTCCTTTTTGGGCTGAAAAGTAGACTACACTTTTGTTGTTTCGCTGCTGGTCATTCAACTATTTGGGCCAAAACCCCAATTTGTGTCACGTCACACTGCCCGTCGCACAGAAAATAAAACTAATTAAGAGCTTAAAGATAGCGACAGTGAGCGAGCGAGCGATTAAAAATAGTCCGGGTGGAGGCTGTACACGCCTATTTTTAGGGTCACCCCGGGGTCAAGCACACCACACGGCTAGACATCAGGTGGGCGTATGGTGGGCGGCAGGTGGCCTTAAGGGTCTATGCGGATCTCTAAACAACCCCAGCGATTTGAACGGGTTCCGAAACCACCAATTTATTTACGTTTTCCCGCTGCGCAGAAAGTTTTTTGGGCAGCTCACTGAGGCTGCAGTAATGCGAATTGATTTCCGCCGGCTGCAGACAACACGGTTATCCATTTTCGCCGCATCCGGATCCGGATCCGTATCCTTACGGCATATCACACAACAAATAACAAGCCACAGAATGCACTGAGCAAAGTTCTTGATTCTGGAAAACACGTTTAAGATGATGATTTAAAAATACTTTAAATTAAATTACTAACCTAATTATTACGAAGACGAAATTATGAAATCCATAGCAAGTATATGAATCACAGGGGTGCTCATATTAATTGCTCGGGCAAAGTATTTTTTGCTGTTTTAAAAATGTGAATAAATATTTTATCAAAACAACATAGCGATAAGAAAACATGACTACATTAGAAAAGCAACAAAAACCAGAATAAGGTCGCCTGGGAAATGAAAGCTTTAAAATATTTTTGAGTCGAGAATGAAAAAAAAGATTTATGAAGTTTTTTTTCTAAGTGTAGTACATTCATCTCCCTAACACCAATTGATTGTTGAAAACTTCGAATCCCCGAATTTTACGCCTAAATACTTGGGAAAATTGTTGATTTGATTTTGGCCGCGTGAAAACTTTTTAATTAATTGGCTCCGACTTGGAAGTTGCTCTATTTGCTCTCAAATTTTATAGCAATGTGCATTGCTATCTGGTCTTCGACCATTTGAATGCAAACGTGACCCAAAAGTTGGTGGCCCGTGTTGTTTTGGCCCCATCCTCACCGGCAATTCCGGAAACGGACGTGACAGTAATAGGTCATGCTCCATTCCCTTCGATTTTCGGGCACGGCGCCAATAAAAAGTTTGCTTTATTTGATTTTGATTTGATATTTTTGAGTAGCACATAAATTTACCTTCACTTTTCGTGTTGAAAGTTGTGTCCGTTTTTATGGTCTTTGGTCAGCGATGCGGGCTAAACTTTTCTGATGAGATTTGGAACTCCAAGATTGATATGTTTGCAATTTATTTTCCATTTCAAGTGAGCATTTTATTTAAGTATTTTGGAAAGCAAATAAACCGCCGCACTTTTATTGACAATCAACTTTAAATTATTAAGTTATTGGGAACATATTGTTGTTGTTCCTAACTTTTATTGGATTAAATTAAATCAAAAAATTTGTTTTAATTGGCTTTCATGTATTTTAATTTAATTTGGTTTCATCTATTCCGCTTATGATGTTTAAATATATTCCATACTAAATGTTATTTATTTTAATTAATTTTATTTAAATTCTGTGACACTCTTATCTTAAACTCCTTTGAACTTTATAAGCCTTTGCGTTGGGCCTTTTTAATATCTACGCACAATTTCCGCCGGTGAATCCCCACCAGAAATTCACTTTTCACTTTTCGGCTTACCAGCCTTCAATGCGTCAACGAAACTCAATTTAAGATTCTTTTCAATTAATCGAATTTCGACTAATTACGCGCACTTAGCATCTCTAAGGGTTTTCTCGAAAGGGACATTGAAATTGAGGCGAGCGCGCGAAATAAAGGACTTCCGATCCGCGTCGCTTGCCGAGTGACAATGCGTCGTATACGCAACTTCCTGCCGCACAGTGTCGCGTTCCATCGGCAACTGAACAGAAATGCCGCTCGTCGCCGACAAAACGACTTGGAAGCAACAAGCGCGCACGCCAAAATACCAGGAGCGGACTTTCGCTCGCTCGGGTTATAAATCTCAGTTATTTAATGAAGCTCGCGCCCAACAACACTATATGACATCACTGTGCAAATTCGTCAGTGTTAGATGCGTAATTAAAATGTCTGCATAATTAAACACCGGAGATTTCTGTTTATCTGCGGGCACTTGACATATTTATCGCATGGACCGAAGTCTCGAAACTCGGGCGACGTGGACCATTGGCAACCACCTGTTAGCTTGGCGCCATGTTAATTAACAGTGGGCTGTTACTTTAAAAGCTTTTCGATAACATTTTGCTAATTTGGATGGTCAAGAGATGTTCATGAGCTTTTTATAAGATAACAGGAGATGTAAATAATATGGGATTAATATTTCTCATATGTATTTTGCATTGTTTCAAGACAGCTATTATTTACATATTTTTTTAATTGGATTATTTTAAATTATATTAACCGCTCTGGGACTAATGCTCTTGGAATGACTCATTAATTTAATCTACATGGTTTTAGAACATATAAGAAAATTTGTATAATGAAACTCATGTGTTCAAAATTTATCCAGAATGTTTTCTTATCATTAAGTGAGCAAACATGTATGTATATATATACTCCTATATGTAAGCCATTTATTTTTGTTTACTATTTTTAACATAGTCGGAGCGCAAGAGAGCAACATTTGCAGAGAGAGGAAACTTACAAAAACCGGTCTCCCTCTCTGTTATTCGATTTAGCACTGTGTTTTCATATAAAATGGCAATGAGCCAAAATTTGATAACGTCGACAGAAACAAGCCAGTCTGCATTTTTATAAATAACAGCCTGCTGATGCCCTGATTTCCATATTTATCAAACAGCGTTAAGGGTTTATATATTTTTTGTATGTTCAAATGGTTAAGGAAATATATTTTAATGAATACAGAAATGAAAATGTCATTAGAATGTCATTACTCAAGCTTATAAATGTATTTTATATTTCAGCTTTACACGCACTCCGTGCCTTAATTGAAATACCCCAAAAAAGAGTAAATTGGATGACGAAATAGTGGATAAAGAAAAATCAGCTGTGACTCTGAGAGTATCCAGAGAGTAGAAAGCAGACAAAGCTAGGTAAACAGACTACCCGAAATATTCTTTATCAAGTTTTTTAGCCGCTGACAGCTGTTCCAGTTTTGATAAGACTAAAGCAAATAAAAAGGTAAACAATAATACTGATTTTTATTTGATTCCCCCTAATTGCGGCTAATTTTGCTTTTCCAAGAGCAGTGAAATTCTAGAAGCCTGGTGACGAAACTGGTAGCACGTGGAAGTCAGCATAACTGATTAATTGAGAGAATAAAACAAGAGCCATGTGCGAATATAAAGAGAGCAAGGGCCAGAGAGCTTTGGCAATAAATAAGAGAGCTCCACAGTAAAATGCTTCATTCAGTTTTTAGACTTGGCAGAGTGCTGATCTCGCGTGGATTAAATAAAATATTCAAATAAAATTTAACCAAATATAATCAAAAGATGTGCGGGATATTTTCCATATTTTCGAGGGATGGTGAACCGATTCCTTCACAAATTCTTAATGGCAGCAAACACAGTTTAAGAGAATTGGCTTATCGGCAAAGTGGAAAGCAACGGCATCGGGGTCCAGATTCCACCGGAGTATACGTGATTCCGTCGGATGGAGTGGCCATGGTTCATGAACGCCTGAGAATCGTGGGCGTGGAAATGGGCGATCAACCTTTTGTCTCTGAAGATGGTAACCTTATCCTGGTGGCCAACGGAGAGATCTACAACTATCTGGAACTTTCGGCTGAAATAGCGAAAAAACGTGGCTCTTACAAACCGAAAAGCGATTGCCATGTAATACTGGAACTATACCAGGATTATGGCAAGGATCTGCTGCAATACATCACCGGAATGTTTGCTTTCGCTTTGTACGATCGAAGGACCAAGGAAGTCCTTCTGGCCCGAGATCCCTTCGGCATAATACCCATGTATGTGGGTGAGGATGTGGCCGGAAACCTTTGGGTCGCCTCTGAAATGAAGTGCCTGGTTGATACATGTTCCAAAGTAGAAACCTTTACGCCTGGGGAAGCCCGTTTTGGTAAAGTTGGTGACCTGAAAACCTGCTGGCAGTTTGAACAACCTTGGATCAAGGAGGTGCCCACCCAATCCTGTGATCTATCCCTGCTTCGAGCCAATTTGGAGTCCGCGGTTCGCAGTCATCTACAATGCGATGTCCACCTAGGAGCTCTACTATCTGGAGGAGTGGATTCTAGTCTTATAGCCTCTATAGCCACGAAGATAATGCGGGAAAGGGATCCAAATTTCCGATTGAAAACTTTCTCCGTAGGCTTGAAGGATGCACCCGATTTCCAGGCCGCCAGAAGTGTGGCGAAATATATAGACAGCGATCACAAGGAGATTATCTTCGAGATCGATGAAGCTCTTGATGGCATACGAGATATTGTTTACCACCTGGAAACCTATGATGTCACCACAGTGCGATGCAGTTTGCCCATGTTACTACTTGCTAGATATATCAAGAGCACGGGTATCAAGATGATACTCTCTGGAGAAGGAGCAGATGAGATCTTTGGTGGATATTTGTATTTCCACAAAGCACCGAACTATAAGGATTTCCACGAAGAATTAGTAAAACGAGTGCGCCAGTTGCATTTATCCGACTGTTTGAGGGCCAACAAAGTGTCCATGGCCAAGGGAGTTGAGCTGCGAGTACCGTTCCTGGACACAGGATTTGTTAACCATGTGATGCAAATCCGACCGGAGGATAAGATACCGGGACCTTTAAACAAATTTGGAGGAGAACGACAGAAAAGTTTGGAGAAATATGTCCTGCGAGCTGCCTTTGCGGATAACTATCTGCCAGATGAGGTCCTTTGGCGGCAAAAGGAACAGTTTTCCGATGGTGTGGGTTACGATTGGATCGACAGCATCCGAAAGGTGGCAACCAGTCATGTAAGCGATCAGGAATTCGCCGGAGCCGCTCTACGGTTTCCCTTCAACACGCCCACCACCAAAGAGGCCTTCTATTATCGCTGTATTTTCGCTGAACAATTTCCCGGAGAATCTGCAGCCAGAACCGTTGTGAGATGGGTGCCACGACTAGATTGGGGCTGTCCGGAGGATCCATCTGGACGGGCTCAAGCCGTTCACCAGGTCAACAAAGACTGATAAGACCTTAATTAAGTTAGTTTAGTCTGAAAATTCCAATCAGAATTGGCTGCGACTTGATCAATAAATTTCTTTAATTGGTAGTCAACTCGAAAGGTTCAATTTATTTAAATATTTATTTATTCTGACATCTGATAAGGCGGTGGGTGTATGGTTACAGATATTTTGCCATATGTTGATCACTGACACGTGCGCTCCACTTGGAAACTAAGTAGGAAACCAGCTGGGGTCAATGACAATTAATATGCAATGTAATGAATATGGTTATTTACTAAATAAAAACGTCAATCAACCCAATTGGGATAGGCTGTATTTGCTATCTGTGAGGTGTTAAGGGGTTAAAGGGTGCGTCGGTTAGGTGAGGCTAATTTTACGTTAAAGATAAGAAAATGTATAAATAAAATAGTTCCTTGAAGGCTATTTCCTGTTCATTAAGGTAGGATTTTCTTATAAACAATTAATATAATAGCGCAAAATTTAGGCGGTGAACCGCCTAAAATATCATCTTTTTAATCAAAGTAGATTTTTGCTTTAATTTATTTTTTCAGTTAAAGGCAAAATAAAATTTAAAAAAAAATTCAAAATAATTGAAAGTGAATGGTTGAAATTTACATTTAAAATTTACATTACATTTAGTTGGCAACGCGGCCTGGAAATACGACCGCTGCATCATATGGTAGTTGGCAAAGTAAAGTAATGTTGGCTACTGGCAATATATATTTTCTGAACATTTAAAACAAAAATATACTAGAAACATTAATAATGGGTTTCTTAATTATTGATTTAAAACTTGTTTTTGTTGATTCCAAAATAATCTACCCAAACTTCAATTTATCGATAAATTCCAGTAAGCCGCAAATTCAGTGATTCTGCTCCGCGCGTTTGCGGCCACACTGTTTGTAACTTTTTTTTGCAACGCAACGGGCTGGCAAAACGCTGCTGAAATTAAGCAAAAATCGTGTAATAAAACCGCAAGCCGTGGCAAAAACAGCTAACCGATGCCGAGACGGAGCAAAATGTGATGTTTGCCGGGCACAGCAAACGCTCGGCGACCGCAAACAAAGTGCAAATCGAAAACCTCTGACCCCAAGCGCGTCACCCAAAAGAGGGAGTAAACGAGACAGCGAGAGGGAGGGATAAAAAGAGAGAAAAACTAGCGCTGCCCGAAGACGTTGGAATTTTGTGAATTATTGTTGTTGCAGCCCAGCAATAACGGTAGAGAGACACCAACAACAAGTACCAATGACAAAGTGAAACTGACTGCGCTGCTCTACAAACAACAATAATAACAAGAACAACAACAACAAAACAAAACGATTTAGGAAGAGCAAAACTGTGATCTCTGCTTTATATATTTTTTGGGGGCAATTGTTCAATTTGGCTGTGCTCGAAAGTAAATTTAGTCAACTCGTTACGCGTATTTGCGGCATTAGGTAGCGCTTTTTCCAACCGACGACTGGAAAATCAATTCTTCGGCTTGCCAAAGGGCAACAACAACTAGCAGTTGTTGAAGTTTTTCTTTGTTGTTTTTTCTGCTGCTGCGGCCCAGCCCAAAACAAAAAAGCAAAGAAGAAGAGGAGGAGAAAGAAGAAGAAGAAGAAGAAGCAGCGCAGCCGGATTTGCAAATAGGTATGAGTGTGTGTTTGTGTATGTGAGTGCGTATCTTGAAGATACAAAAACAAAATGTGTTAAAATAAGACACTTTTCCGCTCTTTCATTCTCGCTCTCTCTCATTTCGTGACATTTAGCCGCTGAATGACGTCGTCGCCGGCAACAATTTTTCAACAATTAATTAACCAAAAAAATAGATCGGTCGACCAGCTGCTGGCAAACATTTTCTTAGGTTAAATTTAACCTCGAATACCAGCACTTTGATTAACAAGTTCATATCTTATCGCCGCGAAAAACCCTGAAAAATAGTTACGAAAGCAAGTTTTGTTGATGTTTTTTTATAAATAGAAAATTGCGTACGCAAATGCTAATTTTTTTTAGTAGAGTGAGAAGCAAATTCTGGCTCTCTTTTGCTCTCTCAACAAGTCGCTGTTGTTGCTTAGTAATTTAGATATATTATCTCATTCTGCCCATTCCATTTTTGCACAGAAAGAAACACTTATATGATGATTTTTTTTATGAGTTAACATACCAGCATTTGCTTGATTAATGATAATAATTATGGACTGTGTTTAGTAATGGAGAGTAAAGAATCTTAACTATTTGTAGTCCCTCCAAAAGTATTTTTACAAGAGTTAATGCTAGATATTCGTAAGCAGTGGAACAATTAAAATTAATCTTGATATAAGATTTCTCATTTATAAAAATAAAATGAGCTTTTATTTAGCAGTGCAAAATAAATAATATTTCTTTCCGCATGCAAATTGTTGTTTGTGACGGCAGCACACAATGCCAAAAATGTTGCTATTCGAATCCGAATCTGAATCTCAATCCCCATATATAAATCCATAGACAGAGCACGTTGCTTCCTGTCCGCCACCCACTTTTCCCCTGACTTCGTCACGCTCTCGGCGCCCCTGAGATGATTCACGTTTCGTGCACGTAACAACGCCCCACCATCTGGGTGTCCGTAGCCCCCGTAAACCCCCTCCTGCATCGCTGGCAGTCAAGTATCCAAGTATCCATGCAGCCACATATCCATATAACCATGTATCCATGCCCATCCCATCGCCACCCGCACAGCCGTTCACCTACTTTTCCAGCTCTCTTTGGGTTTGGGCCCACCACTTCACTCCGCTACACTCTCGTTTTATCGCCATTCTGGCTCTGTGACTTCACCTCGCACGCAAATTGTTGTTGGCCAACTAACTAACTGCGGCTGTTGCTGCTGCTTCTTCTTGCCGCTTTTTGGAGCTCTACTGCGCACGAGCAGGCCACAATTAAATGGAGATAGATGAGAATGTACAGGATTTGGCGGGAACATTTCATCAGGGATAATAGAACATTTCATTAGTCACTGCTTATGATTTCTAGGCTTTGAATTTTCTCCGATAAATTTAACTTTAAAGAACAAATTCTAAACCAATCGTGTCGTATTATTTTCCAAGTATTCTTTCAAAGCATCCAATTCCCTAAAGCGTAGAGGGTACCAATAAATAAACAAACACTTTCTACTGAAGAATGTATTTTCATTGAAATCTGAAACAAGTTTTAAATTTACAAACAAAAAAGTGGTAAAGAAATAAGTTTGGAAATCGAAGCAATCTGTTTTATATAGTAGTTTCATTTGTAATTGTATACACTCACTTACACACTAGTTACACGTTCGTTTTCGCCGCTCCTATATCTTTGTCTCGTTTCATCAATTTTCAATTTAATAGCCCTTCAGTTTTATGGTAACTGCATCCTTGCGCCAAAATTTGCCCCAGTCTCATGCAACTTTAATTTAATTTGGAAAACACTGCAGATACACTAACACAGAATCCTTGCTTATTTCAGTTGCCGCAGCCCGGAAGACGTATAGACAGCCGGAACGATGGCATACCGCAAACCCAGCGATCTGGATGGATTTATCCAGCAGATGCCCAAAGCGGATATGCGCGTAAAGGTGCAGCTCGCCGAGGATCTGGTGACATTCCTGAGCGACGACACAAACTCAATTGTCTGCACAGATATGGGCTTCCTCATTGACGGATTGATGCCCTGGTTGACAGGCAGCCACTTCAAAATTGCACAAAAGTCCCTGGAGGCATTTTCGGAGCTAATCAAGCGATTGGGGAGCGATTTCAATGCATACACAGCCACCGTTCTGCCACATGTGATTGATCGGTTGGGGGACAGCAGGGACACAGTCCGCGAGAAGGCGCAACTCCTCCTGCGCGACCTTATGGAGCACAGAGTGCTTCCGCCCCAGGCGCTGATCGACAAATTGGCCACCAGCTGCTTCAAGCACAAGAACGCCAAGGTGCGCGAGGAGTTCCTGCAGACAATAGTGAATGCTCTCCATGAGTATGGCACCCAGCAGCTCAGCGTTCGCGTATATATTCCACCAGTTTGTGCCCTTCTCGGCGATCCCACTGTAAATGTTAGGGAGGCAGCCATCCAGACGCTGGTGGAGATTTACAAACATGTCGGTGATCGCCTGCGACCAGACCTACGACGCATGGATGACGTGCCGGCTTCCAAACTGGCGATGCTGGAGCAAAAGTTCGATCAGGTCAAACAGGAGGGTCTACTACTGCCTTCAGCCCTTAGAAACTCTAATGGCAATGGAGTGAGTGTGGACGAGGCTGACAACATTGGGATCAGGGAGCGACCCACGCGGATGATTAAGCGGCCACTGCACTCCGCCGCCTCCTCATCGCTGCGCTCCAAACCTAGTGTAAACGATGTGAGCGGTGATGCAGGCGCTGTGACCATGGAGACCTTTGAGTCTAGCTTCGAGGCCGTTCCGCAACTGAGCATCTTCCACGCCAAGGACATGGACGATATATACAAGCAAATACTGGTGATCATTAGCGACAAGAACGCGGACTGGGAGAAGCGCGTAGATGCTCTAAAGAAAATTCGAGCGTTACTCCTACTTAGTTATCATACCCAGCCGCAATTTGTGGCCGTGCAGCTAAAGGAACTATCAATAAGCTTTGTGGATATCCTCAAGGAGGAACTGCGGTCACAGGTGATCCGCGAGGCGTGTATCACCATCGCATATATGTCGAAGACGTTAAGAAATAAGCTAGATGCCTTCTGCTGGAGCATATTGGAGCATCTGATCAATTTGATACAGAACAGCGCGAAGGTCATAGCGTCCGCTTCCACATTGGCTCTGAAATACATCATTAAATACACGCACGCGCCCAAGCTGCTAAAGATCTACACGGACACCCTAAATCAGTCAAAGTCAAAAGATATACGGGCCACACTATGTGAACTGATGGTGCTGCTTTTCGAGGAGTGGCAGACCAAGGCGCTTGAGAGGAATGCCACCATTCTGAGGGATACCTTAAAGAAATCCATCGGCGATGCAGACAGCGATGCACGCCGCCATTCCAGATGCGCTTACTGGGCTTTCAGGCGGCATTTTCCGGACTTTGCGGATCAGATATATGGCACCCTGGACATAGCTGCACAGCGTGCCTTGGAAAGAGAGCGAGAGGGCGGTGGAGGGAGTGGTAACGTCGCTCAACCAGAAACAAGACGAACTGTATCACGCATTGGCCGAACTCCTGGAACCCTGCAAAAGCCCACGCCCAGTATGAGATCAATTTCAGCGGTGGACACTGCTGCTGCCCAGAGAGCCAAGGCCAGGGCACAGTATACACTGTATTCAAGACAAAGGAAACCTCTAGGGCCAAGCAATACCAACCAGGCACCGATGACTGGAGCAGCGGCAAGTGGATCGCTGCCCAGGCCACGACTCAATTCCAATAGCGGTGGCACGCCGGCCACCACGCCGGGATCGGTAACGCCACGACCTCGAGGACGAGCAGGTGTATCTCAGTCGCAGCCAGGATCCCGTTCTACCTCGCCAAGCACAAAGCTGCGGGATCAGTATGGCGGAATCAGTAATTACTATCGTGGAGCAACTGGCGCCATACCTAAAAAGGCCTCCGGAATACCACGAAGCACAGCCAGCTCCAGGGAAACCAGCCCAACCAGGTCAGGCGGTGGCCTGATGAAGCGCAGTATGTATTCCACTGGAACGGGATCACGACGAACGCCTGAGAGGAACAACCCTGTGAGACCTTCTGCGGCAGCTCGTCTGTTGGTGCAATCCCGTGAAGCAGAACAAACACTAGGCCCTGCAGATGATGGTCAACCTGACTATGTGTCCGGGGACTATATGCGCAGCGGAGGAATGCGAATGGGCAGAAAGCTTCTGGGACGCGATGAGTCTGATGATATCGACTCCGAGGCCAGCTCTGTGTGCTCAGAGCGATCCTTCGACTCCAGCTACACTAGAGGCAATAAATTGAATTACTCTCTTAGTGGAAGCCACACCCGTTTGGACTGGACCACGCAACGGGCGCCTTTTGACGATATCGAAACGATCATTCAGTTCTGCGCCTCTACGCATTGGTCAGAAAGAAAGGATGGTCTAATGAGCCTTACCCACTACCTGGCCGCCGGCAAGGAGCTCACCCAGCAGCAGCTACAATGCGTTCTGGACATGTTCCGCAAGATGTTCATGGACACACACACCAAGGTGTACTCGCTGTTCCTGGACACGGTCACTGAGCTGATTCTAGTTCATGCGCCCGAGCTGCACGATTGGCTCTTTATCTTGCTGACGCGACTGTTCAACAAACTGGGCACCGATCTCCTCAACTCGATGCACAGCAAGATCTGGAAGACGCTACAAGTGGTGCACGAGTACTTCCCCACGCAATTGCAGCTAAAGGAGCTATTTAGGATCTTATCGGACTCAACGCAAACGCCAACAACTAAGACGCGCATCGCCATTCTGCGCTTCCTCACGGATCTGGCCAACACATACTGCAAGAGCAGCGACTTCCCCAGCGACCAGAGTCAGGCTTGCGAACGAACGGTCCTAAAGCTGGCCCAGCTGGCGGCGGACCAGAAGTCGATGGAGCTGCGCTCCCAGGCCAGAAGCTGCCTGGTGGCCCTGTATAACCTGAACACCCCGCAGATGACCAGGCTATTGGCCAACCTGCCAAAAGGATACCAGGACTCAGCCCGCTCCTGCATCCAGTCGCACATGCGGCGGCAAAGCCAAAGTGGAAATTCGGGTGCCAATTCGCCTAGTAGCTCTCCATTGAGCAGTAGCAGTCCCAAACCCTTACAAAGCCCCTCTGTGGGTCCATTTGCATCGCTGCAGAGCCACCACCAACTCAGCCTGAGTTCCACTAGTCCCCGTTCGCGGCAGTCCTCTGTGGAGCAGGAGCTGCTCTTCTCCTCGGAACTGGATGCTATTCAGCACAACATTCAAAAGACGTCAGAGGAGATCCGGCACTGCTTTGGCGGTCAATATCAGACGGCGCTGGCGCCCAATGGCTTCAATGGACACCTGCAGTATCATGATCAAGGCCAGCAGGATTCTTGTGCCTCCCTGTCTTCCAACTCCAAGACACAGTCGTCAGCCAACACCACGCAGTCAAATACTCCGGAGTCTGCCACCATGCGTCTAGATAACCTTGATCGGGATAGGACAACTCAAAATGCCAAGTCGCCGCAGCCAACGGGCGATGCCAAAGTGCCCACGTTCTCGATAAATGTGGCGGAAAATGGTGAGCTGATTCTGGCCAATGACTTGATGGAAACCGAAGTGGTGCGTGTGGCCTTAACGCTTACAAAGGAACAGCCCGTGGAGCTGCTGCAGACGTCACTTACAAACCTGGGGATCTGCATCAAAAGCGGAAACTGCGAGTTGCCCAACAAGCACTTTAGATCGATTATGCGAATGCTGCTCAACATTCTGGAGGCAGAGCACACGGACGTGGTCATTGCCGGCCTGCACGTGCTCAGCAAGATTATGCGCAGCAACAAGATGCGCCACAACTGGATGCACTTCCTGGAATTGATCCTGTTGAAGATCATTCAGTGCTATCAACACAGCAAGGAGGCTTTTCGGGATATCGACTCGATGATTCCAAGGATAGCACCATGTCTGCCGCTGGACCTGTCCATCAACATTGTCAATCCGGTGATTGCGACGGGCGAGTTCCCCACGAATCTGTGCGCCATTAAAATTCTGCTGGAGGTGACCGAGCATCATGGTTCGGAAATCACGGACGCCCACCTGGACATTGTGTTCCCGAATTTGGCGCGATCGGCAGACGACACGCAGTCGATGGTGCGCAAGGCGGCGGTATTCTGCATCGTAAAGCTCTACTTTGTTCTGGGTGAGGAGAAGGTCAAGCCAAAGCTGTCCGTGCTAAATCCCAGCAAGGTGAGGCTACTCAACGTGTATATTGAGAAGCAGCGGAACTGCATTAGCGGCGGGGGAAGTTCCACGAAGAACTCGTCGGCAGCATCCTCATCATGATTGCGGGGGTCCTCGCCAGGATTCCTGCACCAGCACCACAAACAAGACACGGACGCGATTGCGTCCCACGGCCTGCGAAGAAAGTGAGGAGCGGCGGACATTTAATGATATATAATACATTAACTAATTATTTATAACTAATTATTACCAATGATCAGAAAATTGTGTAACTGTTTGATGCGTATATAAAGCAAATGCAAACGAACCTCCCAAAAAAATACGAAAACCGAGGGCCATCGCCCTCCCAATGTGAGCAGAAAAACTATTTATACATGTACGGAAACTAAAGCGATAAAACCAACAAAATGTACTAAAATTGTAGCCAACTCCGCACCCCTCACGCCCTACCCTCTTGTACCCGCGATCGCTAAGTTGTATGTGTTTTACCAGCTTCTAACTATTTACGCTGCTTCTATTTAGTTAGTAAGTCTTAATGTCGCTCTTTTTGGATAACCAGACGTATACTTTTTTACTTTAGTTCAAGGCGATTTCGTATCCTTATTTTGTTTCCGCTCAACTAAATTCTAATTACTATTATTACTACGATTCTGCTCTTCTTACAACTGAACTATTTTTGTAATTCATTTAAAAACACAAGCCCACACAAAATGATAAAAACAATAAACAACACTTCTAGGTTATGTAATAATATTTATAAATTAATTAAACGAATAAAACAGTTAAACAAAAGTCCCAAAATACATAATGTAAACAACAAGTCAGCGTTTTGTTTGCCAACATCCTTTGCTAATCGTTTTTGCGTGATTTATTTCATAAAATTCAAACTTTCAAATATTTATTTACACACGGACTTAATTATACTAAATACTTGGTTTATTTTAGTTCCGTCCTCGGTTGTTGTTCCTTCATTTCACTGAAGACTTCCATCTAGTTGGCATAAAATGTCAACGTTACTAAGTTTTCTTTTTTTTTTTTGTTTCTTGGTGAGTAGTTTCTTTACATATTAACTAGTTTTTTAATCGCTATTAAACATTTTTGAATGTCGCTCGATGTGTTTGGATATTTCCCGTTTTGGTATTTCGGTTGTTTGTATTTTTTTTTTTTTTTTATTTGTCTTCATTGATTTGTTCGATTTGCATTTGAAATTTTGTTGGGCCCCTTTGAAACCTGAACTTGGTTGTTTCTCTACAAGTAAATCATAGAAATTCGTTACGTTTATTTGTTCACGCACAGATATTGGAAATGAATTTGAATTCAAGTAAATTAAGGCACTCAATACAACAAAGAAATCGATTCGAAAATGAATATATGTTGTTAGTAAATCGATAGAAAATAAATCAATTTTGCCAAGTACAAATTAGTGCGGTGGTTCGAGTGTGTATCTGTATGGGTGTATGTGTGTGTGTGTATTTGTGTCCTAGACTAAAATGTACTGCATTGCTTTAACATTAACTATCTGGCTTTAGATAACCGTAGCTAATCTTTAATTTGTATTTGTATTGTACATAAACGTAATTCCTAAATTATGGTGTTTTTAATTAAAGATATTTTTCAATGGCACATCTTTTTGCTAAATGTAAGATTTTCGCTCTGTTTTCATTTAGTTTTCATTTTGGGGAAAATATTGGAATTTTGTGCCCCAAAAAACTGAAATGGTTTCCAATCTATCGGAAACGGTGCTGTAAACAATTTTGAGTGTTTATTAATTTTACTTAGAAGTTGAGTTAAAATGTCCCCTAACTTCTGGAGGCCTAGAAAACTTTTAGATCCCATTACCAACTGCCCAAGTAGTTTGACTAAATCTAGTTTTACATATATATGTATATGTATCGAAATGCATTATTATGTACAGTGGGACAAGATTTCAACTTACACTCTGAATCGATTTAAAACGCTTTCGATTTTAAAATACATTGAACTACTTAATTGATTATTCATTTACATCTAGATGTTTTGCTAACAATATTTTGGCTCCTTTGTTTTGTTTTGTTTGTTTTTTGGTTTTTCTTTTTTTTTTCTTGTGGTAAATTTTGAACGCACTCATTATAAACAATGCCCCCAACAACAACAACTCTTCGGGGGTAATCATTGTCCAATTTTGACCGAAAAAGGCACACACAGAGAATATCGAATGACAACGACTATATGCACGACTACAACAACACTAACCCTAAGCTATATATGATCCGTTTGACATTGGCAGACCGTATCTAGTAGCCATTGCAGCGGATTTCCCCATAGCGAGCTCTTGGTCTTCCGGCACCGTAGGCCGCATATCGCTCATACGCCATGTAGTCCGGCATCTCGTAGCCATAGCTTCGCATACGATTTCTTGGATAGCTACCTTGGTGCTCTTCCTCGTAGGGATAGTAGTTAGGTGTGGGCGTGGCCGGGGATTCTATATAGCCACCAATTGGATGGGATGGGAAATTACTAGGCGCACTGGATGCGTATTCCTCAGCTAATCGCTCTACCAGCGATTCGGGTGTCTGCAGGAAACGTTCGGAAAATCTTCCGATTTCGGTAGAGCCGAAAGCCTGCAAGAATCCCGGCAAAGGCTTGATGTCCTGTGGGTGCATTAATTTATTATTATTTCATTATAAGATTTTATCATTATTATTATTTTTTTAAATATTCCAAAAAGTGGCTTTTACTCACTCTAATTTGTTCTCTAACAATAGGCTCCACAGCCTCTGCGTTCTCGTTTTCGCCGGCTTCCTTTTTGGCCGCCTTCCGTTTTGATTTCTTGCTCGGAATGAGATCGCATTCGATGATGCGGTTGCTGCTGCTGCGATTCCTGCCAGATGTTGCACACCGCTTGAAGTTGTTAGCCTGCTGTTGCTGCTGCAACAGCAATTGCTGCTGTTGCTGTTGCTGCTGCAGAAGGGGAGCCAAGGCGGGCGGCACACTAGCATTTTGGCCAAAGCCAATGGGTGAGTTCTGGGGTGCCGGTGGAGTGCGCGGGCGTCGCGGCGTTGGACTCCAGTTGGTTGTCACAGGATGTTGCCGCTGCTGCTGTTGCTGTTGCAAGTGGTGAGCAGAAGAAAAAATCGATTTAGTTTTTTTTCCAAGCCGTTTTGCAGCGGAAAGTTGTTACGCTCAAGTGGCGGGCACTTGAACAACTTTGAGCTGCTGCTGCCAGTCTCCCCTTGGATTCTCTACATCTCCCATCCCCATTCCCCGCCAGCTGGCCGGCGCGTGCTCGCTGGTGGCAGCTCGTGTTACCAGGCAACCCCCAAAAGAGCCACCTTCTCTTCCGCCGAACCAGCTCCAATCTATCCAACCAGCCAGCCGGGTGAAGTTCAACGTAGCGCCCCAAAAATCAATAGGCGCCCCTTTTTATGTACGACTGGGACACCCTGTAAAAAGGCTTCCGGCTGAGATTCTCTCTTTTCAAGAGCTTTCCCGTGCTTTCGCTCAGTTCTCCTGAATTTCTCCCTCTGAGTTTTTGCAATGAGTAAAGCCGGTCGATGGAGCTAAACGCATTTTGCTTTTGGCCTTCTCTTTTTTTTTCAGCCAGGATGATGATGAGTGCTGCTCTTGTGGGCGGCTGTCATTATCAGGCTCTGGTTGCTCGTCTGCTTTGGCCTAATTTATCCCGGCAGAATGGTAGGATAGCAAAATAGCTACACCCCTCCTGATTGCCTCTTAATTGGACCCCTTATACATCGCTGAACTCTACGCTGCACCTGCAGCTTTAATTTACAATTTTTCCCGCCCGTCGCTAATTCGATTTCAGCCACCACTTACCGCATGTCCTGGCTTCTCGTCGGCTGCCTCGATTATTGGATCACCACTAGTATCCTGCGGCGTCGTCGGCGCATCCGAGGATACTCCCGTCTCCGTCTGCAAATTGATTTCCGTACGCTTGGCAACTTCCGGCGGAGTGGGCGGAGCGGGTTTCACCTTATCACTGGCCACTGGCGACGTGGTGCTTATGTCATCTGGAAAACAAGTTGGGAAATAAGTTGTCAGAGAAGACAAGGCGAAAAAAATCAATAGGTATGATGAAATGATTGAAGTCCCTTGGCCAGGCGTTTGCCGATTTCTGGAACTCTAATTATTTTGTCATGCGTGCAGGCGGCAATCAAGGGTTAAAAACCAGGCCCAGAACATTGACCATTCGGCGTGGAATCGTAGGGCTTTTTCGCACGCGCTTATCAAATCACTTTACCCGAGGCCAACAAAAGAGAGGGAGAGAGAGAGAGGAAATTCTGGAGAGCGCGATACACTTGTTGAACGTGGCTAGCACACACAAACACTTACTCTCACCCATACAATGTAAAAAAAAAGAAGAGAAAGAGCGCGGTGGAAAATCAACAAAAAGTGTAGCGCGCTTCTCGGCGCACGCGACTCGGCCTGCAATGTTTACGTATTTCCCATCAAGCTTGACTATATTTTCGGACTTGTTGTTGCCATTATGGCAGTTACTGCAATGCATTTAAGGCTGCAATCAGTTGCGTCAATAAATCAATTATTGCGAAAACGAACATAGGTAAACAAATCTACTATAAATATACGAAAAGTTTTTGCTTTTATTTTAATATTTCAACTTAGGGGCATTTTTTTGATTAGAGCTTTTTGATAAGAATTTATATTCTTACTTACTTATAAATGACTTAAATTTCGTAAAGCGTGACGAAAGTTACAAAAGTTCGACTCAATTAATATTCCTACCCCCTAATTGCATTCCTTTTTCAACTGCACTTCATTTCACATAACGGACATTGATTTTTGCCTCCATATGGAGGCAACAATCGGAGGTTGAGGTTGAAGTTGAATTTGAGCCCTGGCTATTGCACCAGGGACCTGTTCCTATTCCTGTTCCTCTTCTTGTTACAGAGTGTCGCTGGTTCCTCCCTTGATAAGTGCACAGGAAAAAAATATTGATCGTATATTTTCAAAGCAAAATGAAGCTAACAAATATTCAAAAAAGTTTTTCTCAAGATATTCCTTATTTTTCCTAGTCCTAATATCAGAGATGTAACTCTCTTATATTATGATCTTAACTTTTTCCTGTGCATGTGTTTGTGAGTGTTCGGGTGTGTTTGCTGTCTGTGTGGGCGGTTTGACTAACGGTAGTAAAGCGGCAAAAGCAGCGGCAACCACCGCATTACGCTGAAAAGTTCATTTACATGCTGGCTGTGATGACATTTCACGCACACACAGATGGCCAGAAAGACACCCTTAGTTATTGCTGTGTGGGTGTGTGTTTTTGTGTGTGAAAGTCAAACGCCCATTGATAACGACGTAGCTCTACACAAAAACACCCACAAACACAGCCAAGCACTCTACGACACTTTAAAAAATATCACACTAATGTTTCAAAAACCAAATGAAAGAAATACTACCTCCTGTCTAAGATGCTAGAAACAAGTTCTGGATTTTAAAGAAGTGTTCACGAAATTCCTATCATAACTTCCTAGTAAGCCTTCCATTTTTTTTTCAGTGTTAGAAGTTCGTTTGCACTGCAAAATATTTAGAAAAAAAAACTGTGGGTTCACTTCGCACCTGGTGGGTCATCCACATACACAGTTGACTTATTGATTTGCACACACGACAAAAAAATTAAAAACCCACACATCACAGGGCAAAGTCGCGAAGTCTCGGGTATTCGTACTCGCGTGCCTAAATAGACAGCTAATTTTGAAGTCCTCCGAAGCGCCATGACGTAGGCGCTTCAACGACACCCGCCTCCCTTATCAGCCCATCCATAAAGCAACCCCCTCCCTGTCAGGAAACGGAAGTATTTCAGCAGTTAACCAACGCTGATTGGTTGAGTGTTTGCAAAACGTCGGCTTGTCAGGCTTGTGAAATATGTGAGGGTGATCGGAGGGTGATGGCGGGAAATTTGGAATCGGAGGAGCTGGTAGAAAAACCTGACGGACTTCGTTGATGGTGAGCAGCTTTACGGACGACACTCCGGACATGCTGACAACGATGACGGCAACACGAACGGACAGTTCTTGCATTAATTTGCATGCGGAATCAAGCATAAGGCTTAAGGGGCACAGTGGGACTGCTATGAAGTACTAACTAAGGCATGGAAAACTTTTACTTTTTTAAATATAATAAGTCGGTGCTTAAAAATACTGTTTCTAGTTAATTACATAGTTAAATTTAGTCACTAAGTAGGTGTTTAGGAAGAACCTACATATATTAGAAACCCAAATAAACCGAACTATCGATCGATTTGACTACTCCCACTGTACCTTCAATCGTTGATTTCAGTTGAAGTAACTGCCTGCTGGCTGTCGCCCGTTGCTGACTTCAATACTTGTTACATAATCTTCCCTGACATATGTTTGCATAAATTTACGGATTCTCCCCCGCGGCCGTGCATAATTGCAAATTAAATAGAGTGTAATGAAGAAACGACAGGCGATGGGACGCGATAAAAAAAAAAGCCAACTGGCAACTGACAACTTACCGGGAATATCGAGCGGAGTGTCCGCCCTTCTGGTCTCCGCCGTGGTAACTGGTGGCTGGTGCTCCTCCTCCTCGTAGTCCCTGCCATCTGCCGGGCAGTGATAGGGCACACAGGAGGCGGACTCCACGGACATGTTGACCGGATATTCGCCACTGTAAACGGGCGTACTCTGACTACTGTCACTTCTCGCTCGCGTGCTGCAATTGCTGATGCCGCTATCGGTTCCGGTGGCACTGATCATGGGCGGCGATGTGGTTAACCGCTGGGCGGGTGATTCCGCTACTGCCTCCACTTCGATGTCCGGATCCTCTAGCTTTGGTGTTCCCGCCAAGGGAAGATGTTGCAGTTGCTGCTGACTGAGATGTTGCTGCTGGCTCAAATGTTGCTGCTCGGCGCTGTAGCTGCGAAGCGGTTCCAAGTAGTTGGGTGGCAGCACAGTGCGATTCGGAGCCGGAGTAGAGGATCTTCCAGCTGGCGCATAGTGAGGCGTTGGACCAGCAAAGCCACCAAAGCCCCGGGATTGGTAGGAAGCGGAAGAACTGTATGGCAAGGGAGCAGGAGGCTCATAACCAGGTTGAGATTGCTGTAGCTGCTGCTGTGGGTGTTGCTGCTGGTAGGGATGCGATCTGGGCGGGTAATGCAGCACACTGGAGGGGATTAGCTGCTGGCCAGCCGCCGTAAACATCCCCTGGTGGTGCTGGCTATAATGCGGCGAGGCGTACGGAGCATAGCGATAGTAGTTGGGCATGTAAGAAGCACTAGAAGATCCATAGCCATAGCCATAGGGATGGTAGCCGGTGTAACCCGATCTGTAGGGTTGCGGCGGATAGTGCGACATAGTGGCCGTATGATGGGGATGATGATGATGAGGAGGATGCTGATCGTAGAAGCTGGCTGGATATCGGTCAGACATGTTACACCCTTGAGTTCATTACTTATTCCACAGCAAGAACTGGAGGCTAGGAGTCGTCTGCCCCATGCCCATCCGAATGGCCACCATATCGCTTATGCCCGGTGTCCTCTTACATGTGGCTGTTATTGATTTTTGCCTTTTCGGCCAATCGCAAATCCTTTGGCTTCTTTTGCTTTTGTTGTCCTTGTCTGGCCACGCTTGGCTGCCCTTTATTTATGTTCGAATCAATTTTCGCCACACTTGCAGTTTTCTTATTGTCCTCCTGTGAATGGAGCTCTGAAAAAAAAAGCGAAAAGAGAGCGCAAAGTGGGTGGGTATATTATCAGACGAAAATAGTGTCCTGTGTGAGTGTTGCCTGCTCTTTAATGCCAGGACATTTGATGGCCCAACGGAAATGGGAATGCCAATGGTGAGATCGTTAAACAGTTGCCCATGGCTCGAAATAACGAGACAATTGCGTACGTTGGCCAGCAGACAATTCAATTAACATCGGGCCAATAACATTTTATGCGATGTACATGGTCTCGGGGTTTTGTAGGGCAAATTACGAGGGACATTATGTGGTCTCAAGACTACTCAGCTTAGTTAGTTGATATTCTTAACGACTAAGACAAGATCTTAAAGTTTGTTCAGCATTGTTAAGATTGTAAATACCTAATAAATAATTTAAACGGATAAACAAACATCAAAAATGAAATGAAAGTTCTTTGTTAAATTCTATGATCTGCAAAAAATAAAGTTGCATAATTCTACAGTCCTTTTCATCTTCAAATACCACCCCTTGCACCAGAATGCCAAATTCATAAATGCCTCAATTGTGGATCCTTGAGTTTAACTGAGTGCAATCCTGACATTCCACACATGCTAATGAGAGCCAGCAACTCGCCGAATATCCCAGCCATCCCATGTTATGATGCACGATATGCGGTTGCCGACTGAAGATGGCTGGGAAATGGAAAATGGATGGCTGGGTCTGGTAATTGGGGAGATGACGATGGCAAGCGGTGGAAGGACCCTGACGGGTGGGTGCATCTCTTGATGGGCCATGCGCAAAATTCCGTTTGTTTTGCACTCACGCACAGGCAGCTGAGGCAGCCACAACAACAGTAACAGCAACAGCAACAGCAACGACAACGACAACAAACAGCCACTCAACTTATCGAGCGCATCTCCCACACACCCACCCATTCATACACATTCTTACAAACACACACAAACACCACTCACACAATCTCGCATTCACATTCAATGAATAACCGCATGCATTTTGGCCGCATGCAAACCGTTAATGAGCCACAAAAGTGCACACATCTGGAGTGGGATTGATAAGGACCAGTGGGCGGGCGGTTCAAAGTCGTCGCCAGGCAACCCCAAACGTCTTCCAGCAGCTTCTCTTAACCACACAGCCACCCATCACCCGCACAGGACATTACATATCAGCACACCAAAATGTTTTACACGAAAAAAAATAACTGGCATTAGTTTAAAAACAACATTAATTAACACGAAAAATTGAGCGGGTGGGTTAGAAAGTTATTTGCTACTTTGATGAGTGTTAGAAACTGCTTCTTTGACTATACATTAACTAATTACTTCAAAGTAGCTTGTATCTGTAAACATATTTCATTTATATAGTAATAATTTTCCCTTGTGTATCGCAGTTAGTTGTGTGCGTTCATAAGCTTGTGCTTGACGTGTGCGTTTATTGATTAATAAACTTTTTTTGTGCAAAAACACCAGAAAAAGGCGAAAAATAATAATTGAAGGCAATCGCTAGTGGGTGGCGTTAGCGTTAGCGTTGGCAACCTTTATTGATTGGAGAGCCCGAGCAAGTGACGTTCCAGATGAGGTTGATGATGATGTCCTGGCAGCAAATTAGCAAGTCAGGGGTGAGAAGGCAAGTACGGGGAAGGGGCAGGACAACTCTATTAGCAAAGTCAAACACGGGGGGCGGAGTGGATAACATAATCAATGTAAACACAAGTTGGCCAAGAGAGTGAGAGAAAGCAAGCCATTAGCCGGTGAAGAGAACTCGAGAGAGCTTCCTTGTTAAAGTGGAAGAGAGGGAGAGAGCTTTTTAGGCTGGCCCAAAGGGTTAGCTGAAACAAAAACTGCCAGCCGTAAATGAAATGAGCCTCGAAATAAGTTACGTTAAGCAACTGCAATCGTTGGGGGTCCCGAAAAGGAGGTAAGTCTGGTTTCTCTCTCTCTTGTTTCCTCTCTCTTTTGGATCCTGCGACAGGAAACGGAAGTTGAGCACGACGACGGCAGCCGTGTAAATGGATGGATGGATGCTGCGTATGTGTATGTGTTGGTGGTGCCTCTTTTTGGGACAGTGCGACACAACAGCAGCAGCAGCAGCAGCAGCAACAGCAACAGAACAGCCTCCCACTCGCCGTCACCGTGTATATATAAATCAATAAAAACAGCAGCCCGAGACGGGTTTTCGCCTCAGCTCTTGCACTGTTTCTGTACTTTTTTTATTTGTTGTATTCTTCTTGTGCGTCCAGCAGCAGAAGTAACCAGCAAAGGAGCAGGATGAGGAGCGAAGTAAGAGCTGTTGGTGTACACAATCATTACACGGACTCGCGCGCGTCACACGCTGCGTATGTGCAATGTGGCCTGAGCGAAGCGCCTGAATGTATGCAGCGGAATATTGCGATTTTAATTGAGACTGCCGTAGGAGAATTTCCAATAAATGGGCAGGACTTCAAGTGCCTGGGCGTATTTGAAAAATTTGCTAAAGTGTAAGAAATTTTGCAGGGGTCACAAAATAAATAGAAATCTTAAAAAAATTAAGGTAAGGTAATAATTTAACTTAAATAAAAACCTGATTCCAAAATTTACTTAACGCAAATGATATTACAAAAGCAGTTTGTAATTGTTTATAATTTAAAATGTATAGTTATATTTATTTATATTTATAAATAAATAAGAGCTAATATTATGTTAATTTTAATATTAAATTACAATATTTTTTAAATTACCTTGTTTGCGAAGGCGTTTATAAAGATAGGTTAACTTTTACACTTTTTTTATTTAATTCACAATTTTTATAATTTTAGCTAATATTTTCTCTGTCTAAAAATGTTTATATTTTGATTTTCTTAAATTTTATCCCGTCGAGAATTGAATTTTCACCAATTTGATTCGATTAAAAACCTCGCCTTTGATTTTAAAAACTCCCACCATGCTTTTTCCCACCACGAAAAGCCGTTAAATTTGAAATTCTATTGCCCACGCAAGACAGTTCACAATGGTTCACGAACGGGAGGCACTTTTGCACTTTCGAATTTTCGGATTTTCTCTTCGAGGCTCGAGCGGAAAAATCGAAGAGCGGCCGGCCCAGAACGTCAAGTGATCGGAGCACGGCGGCGTCACGCGGACGGTGGCCTCAGTTCGATGCGGAGTCCGCCGTATCTTGGGATACGTTACGTATACGCAGCGTGTGTGGCGCGCGCTAAAGTCCAACGTAGACTGAAATGCGATACACGGGCGCGCTGCCATTTATACACCGAAGGCCCCCAAAACTGAAGAAGAAAAGCTGGCAAAAGACACAAGCACCACAGCAAGGAGCAGACGGAAAACGACGACCAAAAAAAAAAAACAAATAGGAAAAAAACACCCACAGAAGCTGCTGCACTGGGAACTTTGTGACCCGATTCGATGGGCAACCTGCCCACATGCGCGAGCGAGCTTTTCCTTTTGGCCATTCGAGGGCGGAAAATGCGCTGCATTTTGCTCTCTATCTAGCTCTTCGCTTCTCTGGGAAATGGCAGTCGAAACTATTCGCTTTGCTTACGAATTAGAGCACAAAACAGAAAGCCAACCAAAACAGAGAGGCAAGCCGAAAGGAATCTAGAACGTGTCGTTACTTCTAAATGGCCGAGAGAGACGGGAAATTCCCTGATAGAGAGAGAGTGCTAACCCAAGAAAGCAGGGTTCTCCCTGCCGTGAGTGCGCAGCGAATTTTCCGCCAGAGTCCCGCTTGGGGGTTTCCCACGTTCGCTGTGTTTGAATGAGGAATGTTATGTATAGGCTCGATTTATCGATGTCCGGGCCACGAATTTCCACCAATATGCGAAAAAGCCTAGCATGCTTTCTGGCATACTCATAGTCCCATCTGGCAAGGGATGTTTCCGCTTATTAGCTACCCGTGAACCTGTGGCATTTGACCAGCCCAACTAAAGATGACCGATAAGCCGCAAGACTGATAAACAGGCAGGTGAACTTTCAAAAGCACAAGCGCTCTTAGAGAGCTCAAAATTCTCCAATCCCGCTTTTCTATACAGCTAAGACAAGACTGGCAACCAATTCTGCGAACATTTTTTTAAATAAACTAATATTGTTAGTTAGAACAATTTTAAGACACCGTTCATAATAGGAAGTTGAATTTTAGGCTAAAATTTTCTCAATCTTCACATTCTAAGTAAAAACCAAGAAATCTGCATTTAAGAGAAAGTGCGAAAACTTTAGACCTACATTCTTAGAACAAAAGAGTTTCTTTCTTCAAAAGAAAAAGTATCACTAAAGTTAGGAATTTAAAAAACCCGCAAAGAAAATATTTTAAATGCCTTAGCCGTCCCCTAATCAATTATTGGGAGTCCCCTTGCGGCTACGCGCCTGGTTATATGAGCCCTGTGCCGCTGGCCACCCACTGCGCATTCGCCGCACTTTTTCTCTCTCTGGCTTTATCGCCAAGTGCACGTGTTTGTTGCGGTTTTCGCATACCAGTCCAAAGAGGAAAGCCCTCAAAATATTTGTGGGCGGCTTGGGAAAAACGTAAACAAAGTTTTGTGCGCACGCAACGAAAGAATAGAGTGGGGTAGGATGAGCTCTAGAGTCCTCCTCAGGGGTGTTTCTGCTATTGATTGCGTAGACGGCAAACAGGGTGTTGCTCGAGCAGTCTTTACTATGGTATACAATTTAAAAGTAGTCAACAAATAAAACGGACGATTCGGGTCGACGAGCGACTAGCCGAACCAATGGGCACCCATGCAGTCGCGTGTCCACTCAGTCTGGCAGACCCAGCACCACTCAAATCCGCAGCCAGCGCGTGTGCAGACCATGTGCATACAGCCGCCTAGAAGGAGAAGGAGTGTGTTAGGATATGTTACGAACTCCGTCTTGGGTATCTCTGGTAACCCCCTACTCACCGTCTCGCTCAGTAGGCGTTCGACATTTTGGACAGGGCTTGGTACTGACTTTGATGGTGACATTGCTGGCCTCGTCCCATCGCGCCTCAGCAGCTCGCTAGGAAAACCACATGATTACACAAGGGGGAATGATTGAGCCACATAGAAACAAACTTACATTCGGATCCACAGTGTACTCGCAGGAGTTCTGGGCACTTGCACCCGTCCCCTCGGGCAAACACTCCCCAATGTGGTAGCCTTGCAGGCAGTTCCGGCAGAATACATAGCCACAGCCATTCTGACAGGTCACCTTGCGGCAATCTGGCTCCACCAATAGGCCCATACCACAACCTGGTTGCGGGCAAAGTACTCCACCAGCCTGCAGGACATATTCCTCAGTAGCGAACCTTTGGTAACGATCGTACTCTTCACGCGTCAGCAGCTTAAAGTGGTGGATCTCCTCGATGAATGAGTGCTCACAGCCGGCCGGACAGGGTAGAGTGTAGCCAAAGTCTGGGTGCGGCATGAATTGACGTTCGCCCAAACGTGAGCGACAATAATGCCGAAAGCAGTCAATGCAAGTGACGTGCTGCGAGGCGCAGGGAAAGACCAAAACTGTATCACTGCAAGATAAAAAATTTATCATAAGTCATTACCATTCTAAAAGGCAAATTATTACTAAAACATTTATGGTTACATAATCACCTCACATCTGTGCAGGCAAGACATGGTACATCTTTAATATTGTTTTTGATAAGGTTTAAGGGAGCTGCAAAGTCCTTCTCCCCACCAGAAACATGCTCCGCACATTTAAAGAAGAACTCGGCGAAGGGCGGATCCCCAGCCTGGTTGTCTACGCAGGCCACCTCCAAACTTTCACAGTGACCTGGAATTCTACGCGACTTCAAGACATCATCCCAGCACTCCGGATCTCGATGGACAGTGAAGGCACCACCTTTGCATAGGGAGCATCGCACTCGAAGTTTGCCATTGCAAAGCTTATCACATTGACTGCAGTGGACGAAGAAGTGCGCCTTGGCACGCGCTCTTTCTAAGAAGGAGAAATTTGGAGTATTAACGAGCAAAAACAACCTGTTGCTTACCCTCATCAGTTATGTTTAACCTTTCCTCACTTTCCAGCTGCAAGTCCAGCAGGGTTTCGTTTAGGGGTTTGGAAGGTTCTTCGCTTAGAGAAGGTTCCTCCTCTTCCAAAGTGACTGACTGAATTTTCTGGCGCTGCACAGGCGGACGCAACCGAATGGCATGCAAAATGCTCTGCTGTCCTAGATCACATTGCTACTGAAAAATGGGTTATGTAAGCTTGATTTGAACATATATCCAAGATTTGTTTACCTCTATAGTTGTGGCATCGCTGAGTTCCTTGCCGGCAAAAATGATCTTTAGATCATCCGGCTGAAGTCCCAATTGTGGAGCCACCAATTCCTTTACGTTTTTGATATCCCATTGTGGCTCCAAATTCACTGTCAAAGTTTTGCCTGTATTGGTCTTCACATAAATACTCAGCGTGTGCGTCAGGGTCTTTCCTCCAAATTGCAACAGCTCGAGCATTTTGCGAACAAAAGTGGCAATAAATTTAAAAATAAAACTCATTTGTTTTCAGCTGATTGCGGTGGACACGAGGCAGTGCTGCAAAACGTGGATTACTTACGCGTTGCCAAACACCAGCTGACAGCCATTCACAGGGGAACGCAGACACAAAAAATGCGCACAATTGAAAATAAAAAGTTTATGAAAAATTCTGAAATTTACAAAGCTAAGAATCAGTGGAAATGTCAGGGTTTACTTACAGAGAAATCAGTGGCGACTTGTTCACTTGCAAGAGTGACTATTCCATGTGCCATTGTGTGGCTGCCGACTTGCGAATGGGCAAGGGAATAGCTGTAAAGTTTCGGTAGGCTAACCCATGGAGTAATTTAAAGTTCCAAGAACAAAAAATATTTATTTTATATTCCTCAGCAACAAATTTGGGCAGTTGCTTAACTTACAAAAGCAGAATGTTCAACCAGGAGGCGTGGCCATACTTCAGGATCAGGATCGTTTTATTTACTATCTGGTAACCAAGAAAACCAGCTGGGGAAAGCCCACCTACCAACTCCTCCATAGTTCCTTGATTGCCATGCGACAGCATATGGTAAATTTTGTTTGTTATAAGCTCTCCCTATAAAGTATACCCTACACTATATCATTCCCAGATTTCCCACCAGGTCCCAAAGTTGGCCATGCCGCGCATAGGATGCGGTTTGGATGGGCTAAAATGGCCCAAAGTTAAGGAAATAATCTGCCAGGTTTTTCAATCGGATGTTGTGGAACTTGTTGTTTATAATTATGTAGCTCAAAAGTAAATGGCACAAATTAAACTGAAAAATTCCATTATTTGCTTTGAGGCGGCACAAAGTTGTACACTACGATCTCCAGTGGTTCCTGGCCAAAAACGTACTCAAGAACTCCGCTGACCTTTTCCCACTCCAAGCCATCAATGCCGCATCCAATTTTCGGAATCGCCAGCTTATCCACATTGTTTTTGCGCTATGAAATGAGAAATTTGAGCGATAAGTGGATAATATACATATCCTGTAATATTTATGAATATATTGATCTATTTTAACTTGTTAAAGATTTATTTTATAATCCATATTTACCATATGCTCACGCATCTGTTCCAGCGAAGCCTGTAGTGATTCGTAAGTAGGCTTTCCCCAGCTTTGAGGTTTGGTCACCAGGTAGTAGATATACCGTTGGTCATCCTTAAGAACCGCCACATCTCCACTGCCCACATTTTGGGCTCGCAACTCGTCCACCTTGCCGTAGACTTTCTTGAACTGCACAGCAATTCCAGCACCCATTGCAAGATCGGCGCCCACACAATGAGCCAATGAGTATGCCTTGGGGGCGGAGAAGAGATCCCCATCCACCTCGCTGAGACTGTACTGAGGTTTTGATGACATTCCGACCACAAAAGCCCGTCGAAATGCGCCACGTAGTTCTAGAAGTTTGGGAGAATACATGATAAGTCAAATTATTTGTTTATAGAAACTGAGAATTAGGACACAAACTACTTGATTACGTTTACTAGGGGGTTTCACAAAAATCTCTGTATTTTTATATGAAACTACAACCTTTAGTTAAAACCCTCTCAATGGCGTGTTTCGTTTATTAATACAGTATAAATATCCAAAAAATATACATTTTGTGTGCCATGAAAGCTCTTAGGTGTATGTTCTTAACAGCTATATAAGTATTTGGTGCATTCGGTGCCACAAGTCCCAAGCAAAACCATTTCGAGTGTCATACAAAGATTGCTATATACAGTATTCTAACTGGAATTAGAAAGGAGTCTTTTCACGATGAAGAGATTGCCGTGATCCGCTAACGGATCTCGATGGTAAATGAATAGTCTTCATGTGCCGACAAGTGGGACAAACGACATTCAACGTGTCCTTGACCATTTGTGGTGGAGTGTAGAAGAATGCAATGATATCCACGTTATCCTCAGCAAATACCAGATCCAGCAAATTGCGCACGCGCAGCCAATCCAAACGATCAATGCCGCAGCCGAGTCGCGGAATGGCTAACTTTGTAACTCCATGCTCTCTCTGCAAAAGATAATTTCAGTGGGATTTAATCATGTATTATATACAGGTATTTTTGAGTTTGGTATTTTAGTTATATCATCATCATATCTTTAAGTCTATACAGACATTTTCCTCACCATATGTTCCCGCATGGCCAGCAGGGCGTAGTAAAGAGCTGTATAAGTGCACTTCTCATGGCTTCGCTCCTTGGTCACTAGGTTATAGATATATCGACCATCCTGCTCCAAAACTGCCACATTTCCAGTGTGTCTATGTTGACGCTTCAGCTCATCAACTTGGCCAAATTTGCAGCGGAACTGCAGATTAATTCCCGCACACATGGCGAAATCCGCGCTGACAGAGTGCACCAATGCGTAGTTCTCTGGGGCACTGAATAGATTCCCCCTGGCCTCTGTAATCTGACACTTGGGAGCAACCAGCTGTGGATTAGCTGGGTAATATTAATGGTTCTTTTCAACTATCTTGAATGGCTCACCTCCTTGGACATGTCTTCGTGTTCACAGATGAGAATCTCAATTGGATACTCGCTCTGGGAGAAGGTTTGCTGCACCAGACGCTTCACTTGCCTCCATTCGAGGCCATCTTTGCCGCAGCAGATTCGGGGCATGGCCACTTTTGTGATCTCGTGGTTGCGCTGGAGGAACGTAACAGTAAGTATTGCTTAATACAAATTCTAGAAACTTTGCCTTAAAAATTATCCACAAACAAAAAATAAGAAATGAGTTTCTCATGAAACTAACTTTCTCCTTTCATTTATGTTTAACCCAAAGAAATATTTGTATAAAAGAAAATTGCAGTTTAGATGGGAACACCAGTTAAGCGATAGCCACTGTACCCCAAAGTTCAAATAAATTAACTGTATGCAAATTTCTTTGATTCGCTTTATAAGTCTTTGAGATATAAGTAAAATGCTTTCAAATTTTTGATGAGAAAAAGGGTAAACTGTTTTGAGCTATTTACTGTATCTCAATGTACAAATAAATTAACTGTAAATTGATGAGGGCAGTGACAAAGAAACCAGTTTCCCAACCGGCGAAGTGCGGTTACTCTTTGGGGGAAATGTCACTTGTATTTCAGTTTTAGGGGAAACCCCCACCCGTCTTAAAGATCTCACTCGAAAATCGAAAAAAATAAAAACTCACCATATGTTCCCGCATACAGATCAAAGCTGCCTGGACATCATCATAAGTGCTGGTCTCGTAGAGATTCGACTTGGTGACCAGATAGTATATAAATCGGGCATTATGCTCCAGAACGGCACAGTTTCCTCTGGCCACCCTCCTCTGTCTAATCTCATCCACATCTCCATAGATCAGATTAAACTGCCAGGGCAAAGATCCTCGTTCAGCCACGAAGGATGACTCCACGGCATGGGCCAAAGCATGACTTTGAGGGGCCTGAAATATGTCCAGCTTGGACTCCACAATCTTCACATTCGCCATGGCACACTATACATATATGTATATATCAACTGCAATTAAGCGGAAATTATTCTGATTGCCAACCGAAACAGAGACGCTCAATGCCAAAAATGATTTTCGTACTTACGTGCACGCAGCAGCGGTGGAAACTTTCACGTCGAGGTCGAAACTCGCGATAAAAAACTTTTTCGGCTTCGGAATGGTTTTAACTTTGGTTTTTGGTTTTCAGTTTTCGGTTTGGACTGCACAGAAAAACCAGAATGAAAACAAAGCAATTAGCGGACGCGATTCGGTTATGGGATTCTGAACAGTTAGCGTCTAGTTGGTAGCTTGTTTATTTTGGCGATTCGCCGATTTCCCACTCCCAATATCTTTAGAGATTATTAATGAATTGAATCGACTGCCTCGGCCGGCGGTCTGCAGCGGAATGCGCCATTGGGGATTGAGGATTGAGTATTCGGTACTGGGTGAAGCGACGTGCCGGGCGAAAGCCCAGTGAGAATCTTCGAGCCCCAGTGACAACATTTCGCCCAGAGGCGCCGCCGCAGGGGGCAACCGAAAATTAACGATTGCACAGCAAAAAAAATAAGCCATAATTTTCCACTTAATATTAAATGACTTGAATTGTAGCCCAATTCACATATAATTCTGATATGAATATTAAACAATTGGGCTATTTGTGATGTTAAAGAAATTATCTTATCTTGCTTTTGAGGTTTTTATTGCCAATTTGGCCAACTCCAAGTCTAGACGTTTTGGATTTATATTGGCCTCAAGAGCTTAAAGAAGAAGCGGAAGTAAACAATATCTTTTTAAGCTGTTCAGCATCATTACTTATTTTTTAATAATATCATTTTTTTAATCTGGCTTTTGATGAGTATTAATTACTTTTGTTAAAATTGTTAAATTAGTTAGAGAATTAAAAACTCAGGTAGAATATCATATAAAAAAAACTGTAATATTTTTTTAAGAAAGAATTTCTTTTTCCAGTGTAAAGACCACTACCAAGCATGACGATCCACTAAGTCAGAGTCATAATGATGATGATGATGGCTGTGATGATGACATACGTGTGCTAGTAAGTGTTAGCTGATATCGGTTTGTTTGTTTGTTTTCAGCGACAAGTTGACTTGGCATCGCCCAAAATCGTCAAAACCGCTGTAACAGCCAATTAAGAACTTGTGCAGGCTTTTGATAGCGTTTTATAGATTAATGACGACGGATCGTTATTGATCGGAGCACCTGTATGTATGAATATGATTATTATGTACCTGTGCGTGGGCCGCTGTCAAAGGTAATCTGCGCCCATGTGCTAAATAGGGGCAGTTAACCGACTATCGGCATTATTCGTTTGCATGTATAAATATAAATATGACTTAAATTATTCGTTAATTGAAAGGCAGGTGAAATTAAATATACCATACACACACACTTATATATACGAACACCAAACAAATAACCATATTAAGTGACTAGTTGTATTCTAAAATAAACAAAACAGGCAGCAGCAGAGCAACAACAGCTTCGATTCAATATGAGATAAAAACTTAACATTTTTGTCGATTGTTTACTCATATTGAAACGTAAATATTTGCTTTTGAAATTATTAAAAAAACGCTTACTAACAAACAGATATGTGTCTTAAATTGCACATTTGACTCATTTCGTAACAAATATTTTTATTAAATTTCATTGTTTGTCAAGTGGTTTTTTTAAAATAATTTTTACTTTAAACTACGTAAATATTCTTTTATAAACTTTTTAGTTCTAAGTCATAAACTTTTTCTTTGAATTTTAAGTCAAATTAGAATTACTAGGCGCCAATATGCGTGGGAGTATGTCTCGGCTAAGGGCCACTACGTCATCCAAGACGAGCACCCATGATTTTGCAGCTTTTCGCAAACACAAGAAAAAGAAAAACTTAGTCAAAACAAACCAATAGTTTATGGCTTTAAGTGAGAATATATTCTAACTAAGAACACCGATTCAACAAAATTGAAATGTTTGCGTAAAAAATAACACTTTCACCGTTTTATGACTTTTTTTACTACGCATGTCACGCGGCAGCTTTGAATCAAATTGTTATATTTAAAATCCGATTTCGCTTTTCCTCCCGATGGGGGCACCTTGTGTGGAAAAGCGATAGCCGCGAACGATGCCAGTTCACGGCAGTTCAGATTGTCGCCTCGAACGATAAAGACGCCCGACCCGATCCGTTGAGCTATAATATAGCTTCATAACATAGCTCTGATTGAAATTTGGCGTGCCAATTGGTGCTAGTTGCTGCTATTGTTGTTGTTGCTGTTGTTTTGTTTGTTGTGCTAATTACGTAAATTGCGTGTTTTATTGTTAGTTAATTTAAATACTTTACGTAGTAGTGATTTGGTTAGTTGACTGCCCGCCAGTGTTTATGTGTTATTCCTTTTCTTTTATTCTGGGCAATTAATCCGTGCGCGCGAGTAAATCTCCCCGAAAAATAAGAGAAACGTTGTGAGTCACTTGAGAATTAGAGAATAACTAAAAAGTGCAGGCGAAAAAGCAAAGCTCACAGCCGTCACGTCAGCTGTTTGGGATTCTGATTCCGAGTCCACCCCTCTCTCTCTCTCTCTCGCTTACGATACGTAATAAATTACGTATCAAACTTGTCTTCTCGCTCTCTTCTCTTCTGTTTTGGTTACCTTTTTTTGTGTGTTACCTTATTTGACGACATGACTGCGTTGACATTGCTCCAACGATCAGTTACGGCGGTCAGCTGCGATGTTTACGCCCACGTTCGCGTTGCCAATTGGCGGTTTTTGCCACAGCTTCAAAGGCGCCAATTGCATTTGCACGTCTGTGGGCGACATGCTGCACTTTTGGCCAACAAAACAACAACAACAACATCAGCAGCTGCAGCTGCACAGGCGCCAAACGCTCATGCTAATACCGGCGGTAAGTTCAAAACTCTAATTATTTGCATAAAATGCGCGTGCACTCTTTGATTTATGTTGCGGCAGCAGATTCTTGATCGTGAATCACTCACTTAAAAACCTGACGGAAGAAAACGTAAGCGTATGTTTACCATATTATCCTCATAAGAGTTATTTAAAGCAATAGGGTGACAGGGCTTTGACAGAAAAAACTTTTAGTGGAAAAGGGGTACATTTTGATTTGTAAATACTTAATTACTCAGTTTATAAAGTGTTTACTAATACCAAATGATTAATTTGCATACAATTTATAAACTTTTACAAAAGATTACAATCCAGTTATGGTCAAAATGAACTGGATTCTTTCCAGTTTATTTAAACGCTACTAAAATCAACAAGGAGAAAGCAGAGGCTTTAATCGAACAGAAAAGTTAACCGTCATTTTGAGGTCTCATTTCTAAAGGAAATCAAAACGCCAAAATATGACTAACTTTTTGTTTACATTATTTTATGAAGTCCAACCATATTCATATGACTATTAAAACGCCCACTGCAATCAATGCAGCAAATGATAATAAGATACGTATTTATATTAAAAACAAACAAATTTTCGATATTTCGAGAATAACAAACAAGTGGTTTTTTTTTACATTATTTTTCATTAGTAAAGAATTCTTTTTATGAAATTTAAAATTTGTGATGAACTGCGAATAGTTTGGCAACTCTGTCCTTTTTAAATTCTGTTTGTTACTAATTCTATCCCTCTGTTTTTTATAATTTAGCCGGTTTTTGCTAAATTTTCCCATAATGACTCCCACACGACGGCTAACGAATTTCTGTAGACGTTTATAATTAAAACAAATGTTTCTCTTTTGACAACCAAACACAGCCCCTAAAAATACGGTCAAGCAAACAAGTGGCTTTTGAATAAAGAAAAGGGGGACTGGCTTTTAATTAATGATAAAAATAAAAAAGGAATCGAAATGGAACTGGGAATGGAGGCGTCACTTGGTCTGCCTTGCATTTCTTACTAATCACATTTTGATTGCCTCATTGAAAGCTCATTAAGTACTTGCTCTTCCTTTTGTTGCAAAAATAAAGAACACTTTAAGAACTGGTTTCATTTCAATTGCCTTTTTATCAATTTAACACCCGCTGCGAACTGTGTATCGATCATTTTTTATTCATTACTCAAAAAAGGTGTTAATTAGCGCAGCGAATTGGCCATAAAAGTTGTTTACCTAAACCCAACAGTTGTGGTTATTATTACCTAATGTACTCGTTTACTCCAGATTGATTAGCGGCCAAACCCCCGAAGCTCTGTAGAAGTATTTTGGATTTCAGGCTAAACCTGATAAGATAAGTCGCCAGACTAGGTAGAAGTCCCCTAAAAGCTGGGGAAATATTTCAGAATTAGCAAAATGGGCTTTGCCTATTTTTATTTTATTAGATGCAAACAAGTCGTGATTGATACATTTGAAATGAGAGCGAGTTTATTTCGGTGAAAAACAGACTTTAAAAGGTTCTAGAAGATATACTAAAGACATTCACAAGCAAAACAATCTAATAGTTCATACTCTAACAAATATAAACATTGTAAGCGCTCTTCTAGCCTTTCTAGTTGACAACTTATTAAATACAATAATTAATTTCCAATAAATTCAACAGTTTTCCCTACTCCATACTTCATTTTTGTTCCATTTCAATTCTGTCGAGTGGTCTGACTGTGTACCGATAAGATAATGCTGGTAAACCCATCAACTAAATTGGGTGTTAGCTGTGGACTAATGTGTGTGCCTTGTGCCCATCTGTCACACTCGCTTTCGTTGTGTAAGGTCAACAAAATTATATGGTTCAGATACGCCCATTCCGCCCCCAACAACCCAGAAGTAAATGAACTCAAATTGAAATGCCCTAGACCGTTAGTTTTCCTCAAGCTCGATCACTTGCCATTCATTTGAACGCATAAATTTCAAAGTACAGAAGTAATTTCCACAAGTTCAAGGTCATTACCAGGCACACACAGATACTCTACCCACACAGCCAACACAAATAACTTGAAATACTCGCACACAAATAATAAATAAGCAGCGAATGAATAAATAATGTGTGTATATAGACTTGCGAGCCCCCTATAATAGAAAATATAGAGAGGCGAAAACCGAAAAGAATAATATAAACATATATATACCAACAAAATATGAACATGTTACACGCGCTAGACAATTTTGAGAGATTGCGATTCCATGCCATTATATACTAACATCAGGTAGAGAACCTCTCCAAAAAAAAACCCAGTAGAAACCTGACCAAACATAATGCTGATAAGCATATTCGCCTCGAGAATTTCGGGTTTGCCAAAAAAAAAAACGAAATAAAGAAATAGCAGATAGAGCATATAGAGCCCCTCTTGAATTGTTTCCAACCGTCTTCAAGGGTTTTTGGTATGGGTGAGAGATTGCCAGAACAATTAGAAGTTCGTTTCGGTCGCCTCAGAGCGTTTTGAATGATGTCTCGCCTCCAGTCGCTCATACGCCGCGTATCCGAACGCACACGTTCCGCTCTTTGAAATTGGATTACTTCTAAGTTCTAAAGTAAACTCAACCCCCTTTTAGACTTTTCGATAACGAATCGCACCATGTCTTCTGCTGCTCCCAAACTTGTGGCCGTTGCCGAATCGCGTCGCTTCATGATCGACTGCTTCAAGGCCGTGAAGGTTCCCCAGGCTCATGCTGAAGCCCAGGCGGATCTTTTGGTGGCCGCCGATCATCGTGGACATTTTAGTCACGGCATGAACCGTTTGGAAATGTACATCAACGATCTTGCCATTAACTCCACGGATGGTGGAGCTGTTCCAAAGATCTTGAAGGAAACACCCGCCACTGCCTGGGTCGATGGTCTGAATGGATTGGGTGCCGTGGTGGGCAACTACTGTATGGATCTGGCTATCAAGAAGGCCAAGACTGTGGGCGTTGGCTGGGTTTGTGCCAAGGGTTCAAATCATTACGGCATGGCCGGGTGGTATGCTATCAGGGCCATGGAACAGGGCCTCGTTGGCATGTCCATGACGAACACCTCACCTCTGATGGCCCCCACACGCGCCAAGGAGGCTGCCCTGGGTACTAACCCACTCTCCTTGGGAGCCAATGCCACCAATGGCGACAAGTTCCTGCTCGACATGGCCACCACTGCCGTAGCTGTGGGAAAAATCGAGATCCAGCGCAGGAAGGGAGCTCCTTTGCCCGACGGTTGGGCCCAGGATCCCAGTGGAGCTGTGACCAACGATGCAGAACTGGGTTTCAGCACGGGATGCCTGATGCCGCTGGGAGGCTCTGAGCTAACCTCTGGCTACAAGGGCTTTGGACTTGGTGCCATGGTGGACATCCTGTCAGGTGTGATGTCTGGAGCCAACTACTCCACGCAAGTCAGGAAGTGGACGCACGCTGGCGCAGACTCTGCCGCTAATCTCGGCCAGGTCTTCATCGCCGTGGATCCCAACTGCTTTGCTCCCAACTTCGAGGAGCGAATGACTGATTTCAACTCTCGCCTGAGGGGCGCAACCCCGGTAAGGATATATACCATTAAATATTTTAATTAATTTTTTTAGGAAAGTAAATATTGGAAAACTTTTCTCTTCACTTGGAAGTTAGGCACTGGACTATCTTATCAATAAAGTATTTAGAATACTCCCATCAAAGTAACTTTAATCGTTATGAAGGCTGGCACCAGTATTATTTTTGAAAAAATTAATTTTAATTTTTATTATTTCTTTTCATAGACCGATCCCAGCAAGCCCGTTTTGTTGTCTGGAGACAAGGAGAAAAATGGAATGGCTGAAGTCGATGCTGCCGGCGGTATCCAGTATCTGGAGAACCAGCTCAAGACCTGTGCCAACCTGGCCGAGAAACTCAACATCAAGCCTTTGAGCTTTATCTAAACTCGAAAGAATTGAAGGATCTAAGATAGGGAGCCAAGCTCACTTATTGCCATATATACTGGAAAGGCTTCTGCATTTCGACGGACCAAAGCACTTTGTTACTTTACACTGCAAGAAAAAATTGATATTCGCAACAGTTTGATTTGCGCTGGTGCTGATTTATAGTTTGTTACATATCCCCGTGTTGCACTTAAATTTCTAGTTTTCTAAAAAGTGTTAAAAAAAGTTTTAACATTCTTTTAGTAAATTGGTAATATTTAGTAGAGTAAAGACTTGCAGTTTGCACATTTATGATAAGTAAAAGGACGTCTAAATTTCTTTTTAGATAAAAAACTGTTATACTACACATTGCTTTTGGCACTATCCATGCATGTGTTCAGCAAATACGTAAATATTAAAATGAAAACTATAATATATACTCCATGAAAAATATTATTTTTGGGTCTACTCTTGTCTTGATTTTAATTTAACCTTAAATTAATTTTTGTGGAGACATATTTTGGAATTACGCCAAAATTCAATATCACCTTTAAACATTTAACAGCAGACTTTAATAACTTTTGTGGATCTCCTGGAAATACTCAATTATCCACCATCACCTTGGACAAAACATATTGAGCTTCATATTTAGCCTCCTTGTGAGCCACCGGCGACTTAATAACCTTCCTGGACCTATTTTCCTGGCACTTGGTATCAAAGAGCTTGGGTGGCATTGGCTGGCTCGGAATGGAAACATGCATGGCAGTTCGCAGCTCCTCGGGATCCTCAGTGACGCTCATGGATTTTATGAAGTCGATAAGGCGCTGGTTATCCTCGTTGAGACGACGCTTCTCCTCCATCATCAGCATGTTTTGGGCCTCGGCCATTGCTTGGCGGCGCCAGAAATTCTTTAAACTTTTATTCAGCTCCACTAGCTCATCCTCGGTCATGTCCACGTGATCCTTTAAATTAAGAGTCTGCAGCTTAAAGTTCTCATTCACATCCACCTGGGTTTCGTCAAAGAGTTCGCCACCCAGGATTACTTTCTCGGCCTCCGTTTGGAGTTTCCTGCAGGTGATCGACAGGGCCAAAAGTAGTTCCCCGCTTTTCACGTGCTTCTCCATTTGCTGCGATTTGGTTGATCAAGTGATAATTGATAAGTTGTAATAACAAACAATAATGAGTAATTTGAGGTATATTCCTACCTTGGTCAACTCGTAACATTCGCCGGTGAGGATACGCAGCTTCTCGTGTGTGATTTTCCGGTCCATCTCCTGGTTAAGCTCGATCTTCTTGCGCACGTTAGTGAAGTACTGGAACTCCAGGCGGAGATCGTTGAGAGTGGAGTTGTTCTCAGCATCCATGCGAACCATTTCGCGTTGGAGCTCAGCCTGCATGTTGATGTACTTGGACTCTTCGGCATTCAACTTACGTGACTCCTCCATGAAGGCCTCCTGACGCTCCGTTAGCCAGTGGATCTTCTCGTACTTGTGGGCATCCAATTCAGTACTCCTCAGCGACTCCACAAAGTCATTGAGCTGCTGCTGCATGTTCGTCATCCGGCGGACAATCTGATCTCGGATCTTGAACCTGTTCTCAATCTCGGTGTTGACGCGATCATCACGCTGCTCTAGGTAAATTTGGTAGTCCTCCTTTAGCTGATCCCTAGTGCAAATGTTCGTGGCATGGATAATGTTCTCGGAGTTCATTTTCATGGCTTCCACTTCCTCGGTGCGCCGACGCACCTCCTCGTAATAGTCGCGAAGCATTTCGTCAGCCTGCTGGTCATACATGCTCCTTACCACGCCCAACATCGCATGAAAGCAGTCGCGGATGTGGTCGATCAGTTCCACTGTCTTGCTGTAGGAGCGCACATGCTGATCTTGCGTCTGCGACATGTCATCGAGAAGCATCTTGATGTGGTCGTTCTTGGCCTGGATGTTCCGCTCTGAGCGTTCACCCCATGCGATCATCTCTTCGTTTAGCTCCTTGATTTTGATTTCACGGCACATCTCATGCCATTCTTCATTGCCCTTGTGTTCCATGCGCTTGCCCATCTCCAGCTCCCTCATAAGAGCATCCTGGAAGGGTATATATATAAGAAAATTTACCAAAATGCAAAATGGTTTTACCCACCCGCATAATCAGGCGTTTCTCCTCAATCAACGCCTGCCTCTTGGCCTCCTTCTTGAGGGCCTTCTTCTGGGCTTTGGTCAGCTTGGGCGGTCCCTTCGGCTCCTCTTCCTCCTCTTTGAAGTACAGTTCCGTCATGCGTGCAAGACTGGCCTCAAACTCCGCCATTTTGCTAGTGTAATTAACTAACTTTTAAGTCAAATTCGGAAATATAGAGTATAATTTTCGGGGAGTCGGTTAGCAAGATGACTTTAAATTGTGTGACTTTACTATCGAATTTCCCTCAATGAAAGCTGAAACAAAGTTTTAGGTAGAGCTTTTGATGGGTAAATTCCAACACTGGATATAAGCTTTTTGAAGCGACTCTCTTTTAAGTTTCGGCGCAGCATCTGAAGCTTTAACGCCCGACAGTGATTTTCGTCAGTTAACGCTCAAAGCTTGGCTCGCGAGGTTGTTGATAGCTCGCTCCTAAACTCCGGGCCTGCGGAACTCATCCAGAAGCGCTTCCTTTCCGGGTAGTTAGGCCCACCCATTCTCGCAGTAAAGGCACGCCACATCGTGTGTGTTGTGGTCCTTTTTCCCGGCAGGCAGTGCCGCCTTGTAAACAAAAATAACTCTGCTGCCTGGCGAGGGTGGTTACAACCCCCAAATCTGAACCATCCGACAAAGGCAACTACAAAGCTCCGTTGGCTAAGTGGCAAGGGCACTCCTGGCTGCCAACTTTTTCGGGGTTGCAGACAGTCGGCAAACAAGCTGCGAATGCGACTTTAAATGTCCATAAACATTCAGCTACAAAAAATAAATAAAAAATAATAATAGTAAAACAACATTCGTTCGGAGCATTTCGTAGCTGCAAGTGCAAGTGTATCTGTTTCTGAGCTGTGAAAATGAGTGAATCCGGTGGCTATCAGAAAATGCCGCCCGGTTGGGACTGCAAATATGATCAGACAACTGGAAATTGGTAAGCTGCGAGTGCATTGTACATATATATATGTACATATAGCCCGATGTCATAAATATTTATGCATGCATTAACCGCAATGTCGTGAAATGCCGACTGTACTGAAAGATGTAATGGCCAGTAGGTGGGGGCACTTTGATAGGTTGCCCTGGGAGGCAACTGATAAATTTGCGTGCCACCGTTGCCTTGGGTGGCTCTTTCGGTGGGTGTTTTAACGACGGGTGAAGGATAGTGGGTGGTGGGTGGCGGGGGGCCTTGGTAGCTTGAGCCCGTCACTGATTACCACGGTGACTTTAAAATGCCAAATAGGTGGTGGGTGTCCGGTAAGGCGAAGGTTCACGTTGCTTGGTTTTACGGTAGGAAAATTAACTGAAGGTCTAGGGAAGTTAATTTTTAAACATCATCCTTGTACTTGAGTGCTATCCTATTAGAGGGAGAGGGTCTATTAAATGAGGTATTTTTGTAAGCTTTCATTAGATGGCTAGCATAAAAGATAATACAAGTTTTGGTTAATGAAATTTGTTATTAAAAAATTATAAAAAAAATGAGAGCAGGCATAATCTTTTTAGCACTTAAATATTATAATATTCTTACAAAATGTAATCCCATATATTTGTTTACACATGAAATATAAGTCATTCCCAAAAGTTAGGTTCTTAGATAAAAAGTTTCATGAATATTTTTCCGCTGGTGTTATCAAAAATTCGTTTTTTTCACAATATTTTCAACAGAAACCTTCAAAATACTAAATGATTTAGTCATTTTTCTATGTTGTTTTATCAAGCATAATAGAATATGTTAAAAACTCCAAAGTCCCCATGTCACAAGGACTACTTGGGGCTCCTTAACAACTCCAATTGGCCTCATTTCAGCGGCATAAATTGTGTCACTTCCGCGTCGGCGGATGCCAGCGGGGTCTTTAGCTTCTGCTTAGCCTCTCCTATAAAGCCAAACCCCCCATGTTTTTAAAGTGCTTGTGCAATTAAGCAACAAGCCCAACGACTGTCATACGTTAATTCAAGAGGCCACTCAGCCGGAGACGAGTTTTCCAACTCCGTACACCCCGTTCCTTACACGAAATCAGAGTCACGATGGCCTGCCAAACGGAGATGAAAATGACGACTATGCCTGTCCGCCTTTTGGCAGCTACTTGGCACGTGCCACGGTTTAGGTGGCTCCTTTACCCTTTACCTGTCCGACCTCCCAGGGGACCATCAACATGTGGCCAGAATCCCAATCCAATTCGTAACCAAACCACCACCAACCGGCCGGCTTAAATAATTCTACCCTTGGCCTGAATCTTGGAGCTTTCGATTGGCCCTGGGGTGGGAGGTCATTTGATGACCTTTGATTTGTGGCAAGCTCATCTTCCATTTTGGTTCCCCTCTTTACCTTTCCAGCTATTACATAAACTATCTGACGAAGGCCATGCAGCTGGAGGATCCGCGCGGCCGCAGTTACAGGCAGTTGCAGAACGAGCGCTGTTCGACGGAGTCGATAGCCTTGCAGGTAACCCCCGATTCCTATTCCGATTCCGATTTCGACCCTCCTTGGGCACTTTGCATTTTATTGATTTTACATTTGGCCTGCAACACGAAACCCTTATAATTTGCAGCAGTTGGTCGGTCAGCCGCAGACGTCGCACAACAGCTCGCCGTACCACGTCCATCCCAGCAACAACTTGACCGCGATTCGGGCCTTCCAAGAGCGCCATCAACCCACGCTGCAAAACGTCTCGACCAGTCCATTATTATCGGCCTCCTCCAGGGGACACTTGGTAAGTTGGCCAAAGATAGCTTTGAGAGGAGAAACTACATAATTGTCAATCAAAAGACAATGGAGATCCAATCTGGCGTAGGAGTGCCTCATAAATGTATAGATATTTATCTAAAGAACAGCTAGAGAAGTGTTTAAAAGTTGGCAGTGTTTTTCTACTTTATAAAAGAAATTCCGACAGATAAAATAATATATTTTCAAATCAATTAAACTTAACTTCTGTAACTTTTTAATTTTTGTCCCCTTAACAACCAGGAAATGTCTTCACCTCTACCCTTTCAACGAGCTCGCTTAGGACCAAATATGTCTCGGCGTTCCACCATCCAGGAGACCTCGTTCACCACCCAAGCGGAAACAGATGCCGTGGTAACCAAGATCCAGAACATGTTCCCCACCGCTGGCGAGAATCATATACGCCTCCTGCTCAAGCGGTAAGATCTTGGTCGTAGTTTCTAGTCACGCTTTCGTGCTAACTCTGCTAATCCTCACTAATCCGTGTACTTACATCTCTGTCTTCTCACACGCTGCCTAACGCTGCTTACTGCACCTGTCTAACCCCACGATTAAACGCTAATCCCACGCTTACTAACCCACGAACCCACAGCTACTATAATAGTGAGGCGGTAGTCATCAGTGCTTTACAGGTGGAGAAGCACCCGGTGACCATGCCCGGTCCCTTCGTGACGCCCCCTTCGCAGAGGCATCTGTTCCATAGCAGCTCCGCCTTCTACATGACGCCACCGGCACGTCGTCCGGACACGATGACTAGTCGGCGCACCTCGCGCACGGCCAGTCCCTTGCCCGGCGGACGTTTCGGTAGTCTCGTGAGCGTGCAGAGCGGTCCTGGTGGTCCTGGCCATTCTAGCCACCAGGTGGTACTACCTTCTGGTTCGGCTGTTCCGCCAGCTCTGCACGGATCGCCCATGTGGCGCAGCTCACCCAGACCGCACTCATCGCCCAAGATGAAACTGAGGTTCGATGGGAAAACTTTTAATGCTGTAGAAAATTTCCATTTTTTAAAATGTTTGTTTATAAAGGTTTTAGTTTAACAGATGTCCTATTTTTATATTTTTTTAAGAAAGTATAATTTTTAAAAGAATTTAAATTTATATTAACATTTTAGGTAGTTTTTAAGATTGAACTTAAAGAATTCTAACACAAAATGTAAAAAGGCACAATTTTAAAGATTCTAAATGTTGTAAGCTAAAAAACAAAATAATTTTAAATTTTCGTTGTATAAAATAATCTCTAAAAATGCCATTTAAGACGAGTAAATAACATCTAACTGTCCACCTCAGATACATGAAGAACATATTTCCCAAGGCGGATGAGGAGTTGCTTCTCGATGTCCTAGCTAATGCGGATAACAATGTGCAATTTGCCTCGGAGAAATTGATTTCCTTGGGATACACCAAAAGGGAGATGCAGCAGCCACACAGACCGAACAATCGTCCTCCGGAACTGAATCAAGATCAGCAGGCTGGAGGTGATCAGGGTACTGTACACATACCCCTGAGACCTAAGGAATACACAGAGGAGGAGAAAGCCAAAAGTGAGTTGCTGTATAATTCTTCATAACTCGTAATAATCTTCAACTTCTCTTTTAAAAGTGCAAACTTTGCTCAAGGAGAAGTACCCACAAATTGCCGAGCGCATTATATTGATGGCTTTGGAGTCCGTTAACTATGCCGAGGATCGAGCAACCCAGATCCTACAGATAGTTCAGGACGAGGATGAGCAGAGAGCCCAGAAGCAGGCCCCATCGAATCCCAAACACTTGGAACTGACAAAGACCACCGGAACCGAACAGGTGGATGGTGCCACCGGAGACAGGTAGCTTTTAACTTACCCTTAACCTCTTTGACAAACTCAACCGATCAAGGTCGTTGCCACCTGCTTTTCCCACCCACTCTCTCTTTGGCCCGCTGCTTTATCCGTTTGTTAATCGACTGCCTATTTTCTATGTGAACTTTTGTTGCTGCCTCCGCCTCTGACTAAATCCCCGAACCAAAAAAAAAAAACAAAAAACGAAAACCACACTGTCCGCTTGCTTTGCGCCACTTGATATCATCCAGCCTGCCCACTGTGGTGGAGCCCAACACCTCATCCAAACAGAAGCCACCGCACAAGCGCCACATATTGCCATCGATCAATGTCACCACACCATCGACGTTTACCACTCAGATAATTTTGGCCCAAGCCACGCCCACACCAACGCCAACAGTGGAGGAGAAGCTGGAGACTCATCTGTCATCCATATCGAGTGCATCATCATCGCATTCATATGTCTCACCCGCACAATCACCATGCATCCTCCAAAAAAGCTACGAACGGCTGACCACCAAGAGCATCCTGGCCAAGAGCGGCTATAACCATTATGGCCACAGCGATACCAATAACTACAGCATCGGAGGCTACCTGCATGGCTCCTCAAATGCTAGCTCCTACTCCTCCTACTCCGCATCAATGACGTCCTCATCGCTGGCCTCGTCGGCCCAGTCCAACTCCTCATCCATCGCGAGGAGGCCAGCATTCGAAAGTCGCGCTCGCACCAAAACCGATTCACTGAAGTATGCCCGTTAAACCCGATCCGTTTACCGTTTCTCTAAGTAGAATTTATATCAGTCGTTTCCGCATGCGTTCTTTAAGGATTCCGTATGATTCAGGGAACACAATTTTGAGCTATTCTTTTTAACCTTTTTACTCGTTTTCTTTCGGCATGCCAAAAGCTAATTTTATTTTTTAATTTTATTATGAATTATATATTAAAGAATAGATTTGCTATTCCCAACAGGCATCGTCAGCATTCCTTCGGGAACTCTCACAACACGGAATCTGCAGAATTTCAATCTATCATCGAACGTATGGCCACTATGGGACCCAATTCTCAGCTAAACAAGGGAGCAGATGAAAATCTTCTACTGTAAGTGAATCAGTATGATTTTAAAAAACTTTATCTAATATAATTCTTCTCAGAGCCGACTATGTCACCTGGAATGGACCCAATACAAAGCTTCTCCAAAAGCAGCCCACTTCAGGGCCAGATGCCAGTCTCTTGACAGATCGAACTTACAAACCAAGAGGTGGTAATTCGGATCTTTGCAAAGGAGCCCAATCAGGATTGGCCAAGGGCAGCATCTACGCTCAGGGTAGCAACAAAAGCCCCAACATCAAATGCAACTAGGCGGGGGCACCCCATCTCGAATCTCCGCTAGAGTGCCAAAGAAAAATAAAAGATGGAACTTAGTAACTAGCCACGCACCACCCTCCACAAGTTCAGACTTAACATTTATATGTGTCGTAAAGTGTTTTTTTGCTCTACTCCCAAATCCATTCCACACCCAAAAAGTCACATTCCATCCAAGCTCCAATTATTTTTTAGTAACTCGTAAATAAACGGACTTTAAAACTAACAAACTTACTTAGTAATAATGCGGGGATTATGGTACAGAAAAATGTAAATTAATGGATCTAGACCTCGTCCTCGTTGAGAAGCATGTTGGGTATGCCATCGGTGATTGGAAAGATCCGTCCTGTTTCCGGGCACTCTAATTGGCCTTCAAGCACATCGATCTCGAACAGTAGGTGATGAAGCCTCTGCAGGAGCAGCTCGTTCTCGCCAATATTTTCCGGCTGCACGGCGGGAATGTCATCTGTAAGTTCCGCCTGTATTAAAGTGAGATATTATTAGAGGTGGTCTTTTTTAGAAAATGTGCACTAAAAATCCCGAACCAAGTTTTGAACACTTACCACTTGTGCTGCTCCGTAAACCGCTGACCAGTCCAGTTTAGGTAACATTCGCTCCACAAATACAGGGTTGAACTCACTTTCTACTACTTCCTTTTTGCTTATCTAAATGTAAAAACAAATATTCCATGAAACAATCAATAGTAAGCAACCGAGATTCTGAAACTCACCGTCAGCTTTAGGGGAAATCCCACTTTAACGCCCTTGATGGCCATGGAGGTCAGGAAGTTGTAGGTGCTTAATTTCATTTTTGTGCTTATAATTATTTTAAAGATAAGAGGAATTTGAGTAAATACAATTAATTTTTAAATAAATATTTTGCGGTGCACGTTGTATTCGTTCTTCTTCTTTCGAAAATAACCATTCACTTTTCACTCATAATATCGAAAGCTACACGATATGCACTTTTATCGATGTTCTAAAACAGTTGGCAACGCGACCTGTTGGTTAATTATTTCAAGCGGCCACACTGTTGAAATTTTGTAATTAGAAATTCTCACAACTGTCGCTATTTAACAGTTTTTAGCCGTTTCTAGATGTAATTTAGGTTGGCAAACCTTTAAAAACAGTGACTGAGTGCGGAATAAAGGCGTAAGAGATAAAAATGGAAGACATATTCCACTGGTGCCGCGAGGGCAACTCGATTCAAGTGCGCCTCTGGTTGGATGAAACGGAGCACGACAACAATTTAGGGTAAATCTAAAACAAGTGACTAACTAAATAGTTCAGCACTTTCTCATTGAGCAAGGGAGTGGTTCTAAGAAAGTTAACTCCTTGAATACAACCTCCCTTCCGAGGAATCCCAATTTAGTCATCACCTAAATACGCCCAAGATTTCGAGGGTCTTTCAAGTCTCAGTGACGTCATGATTTATTCTTGTGTTGTGTAAACAGACGAATCAAAAATATTTATGTATGTATTTGCATGTGTGCATATCGCAAGCATAAAACCCGCTTCCCACTCAATGAATTTTTATTGAATGTATGAATGTATTTTGTGCTCCTTATAATCTGGTTTAAAATGGTATATCCCACGAAATAAACTTAAATTTTAGGATTTTGAGTGGATATGACTTGTCTTAGAAAGATTTTTAAATACAAATAATCAATAAATATTCCTGGAGAGTTTAGGAGTTCTGATATAGATATTTTCCTTCTGTTTCATATATATTTCCTTTCCTTTTAGCGACGACCATGGCTTCAGTCCTTTGCACTGGGTGGCCAAGGAGGGCCATGCCAAACTTGTGGAGACTTTGCTGCAGCGCGGAGCTCGTGTTAATGCCACCAATATGGGCGACGACATCCCACTCCATTTAGCGGCAGCTCACGGCCACCGCGATGTGGTCCAGATGGTAGATAACACATTAACCAACCCAGCTATCTTATTTAAACGCATACCTTTCATTTTAGTTGATAAAAGAGAGAAGCGATGTGAACGCGGTTAACGAACATGGCAATACACCTCTGCACTACGCCTGTTTCTGGGGCTATGACATGATCTGCGAGGATTTACTGAATGCAGGAGCCCAGGTGGGAATTGCCAACAAGGACGGGCATACGCCAATCGAAAAGGCCAAACCCAGTTTGGCCAAGAGGCTGCAGGATCTAGTCGAGAAGAGCGGCAGGGAAGTAAAGGTTATCAGCTTCAAGGAGCAAAGCTGGCAGGGAATGAAGACGAGGTCACGGGATGCCACATTGTCCCGCTTTAAGGGTATTAGTATGGGAGATTTGGATCTGCATACCAAGCTCTCAGTTACGCCGTCAGGAGAAACATGGCGGGGACGCTGGCAAAAGAACGATGTGGTGGCAAAGATCCTAGCTGTACGTCAGTGCACGCCTCGTATATCACGGGATTTTAACGAGGAGTTCCCCAAGCTGCGCATCTTTTCGCATCCCAACATTTTGCCCATTATAGGGGCTTGTAATTCGCCACCCAATCTGGTGACCATTAGTCAGGTGAGTTTGACTACGAGAAATTTCTGTTCTTATTCTGAATTAATTTGATTTATTCCTGAAGTTTATGCCACGTTCTTCATTGTTCAACTTGCTGCATGGAGCTACCGGTGTGGTGGTCGACACTAGCCAAGCGGTTAGCTTTGCCTTAGACGTTGCTCGGGGAATGGCTTTCCTGCACTCGCTGGAGCGCATCATACCCACATATCATCTAAACAGTCATCATGTGATGATCGACGAGGATTTGACGGCGAGGATCAACATGGGCGATGCCAAGTTCTCGTTCCAGGAGAAGGGACGCATCTACCAGCCGGCTTGGATGTCACCAGAGGCTTTGCAGCGCAAGCAGGCGGATCGAAACTGGGAAGCCTGCGACATGTGGAGCTTTGCCATACTTATTTGGGAGCTGACAACGCGCGAAGTACCTTTCGCCGAGTGGTCGCCCATGGAGTGCGGCATGAAGATTGCATTGGAGGGACTGCGAGTGAAAATTCCACCAGGCACTTCGTCCCACATGGCCAAGCTGATCGGTATCTGTATGAATGAGGATCCCGGCAAGCGACCCAAATTCGACATGGTGGTGCCCATTTTGGAGAAGATGCGGCGTTGAATAGAAGGAGCAAAATCAATAGATGCCAAGCCAAAATGTGCCTTGAGAAACCTTCGTTTTTGCCAACTAATTGTAATTACTACTTTGTGTTATCTTTGTCTAACTGAGCCTAACCGAAAACCGAACCGAAGTGGCAAGCAAGTGCAACTGCTGCCTAGAATTTATATTTCTGTGTCTCACTGTCTCTACTTATGATTTTCCCTCGATGTTTAGTGCGGGTGCTCGATTTTGTCGTACATTTTAAGTTCGATAACCTTTAGGATCGTATTTATACAGAAATATATTTGTTACTAATTAATTAAGTGGATTGTGTACCTTAGTAGCGGAGGTACAACTTATGGGTCTACAAATATGAGCTTTAATCTATTAAGCTTATTCGCTGAGAACCAAAACAAGAGGAGAGCTTTTCGCCGGAGTGGGTGGCAAGGCAGGAGCGCAGCGGGCCGGGCAACGTGAGCAAGGCGGCCCTGACCTGGTTTCCATTTTATGCACGCGATTTTGTGCAGCTCGTGTGGGCAGAGCAAACTCGGTGGTTCGCGAAGAGAGCGCCGGCGTAAACATTTCGCGGAGAGAGCGGAGAATAATGATTGTATTTATTTAAAATTTATTTTAATTTATTATGCGGCATGCTTATCTTTACAGATTCTAAAGAAAATGTATTGTTATTGAGTTAAAATTTGTCAATGGCCTGTAAGGAGGATTCCGGAGAATGGAATTCAGAGAAGTGTAATAATATATTCTTTAAATCAGATTTTAAATTTATTGACACCTAATTTGTGTTTAATTTATCTTCCTATCCGACTTTTATATAATTTTTAAAATGACTAAATTTTTTTTTTCATTAAACCCCTAAAATAATATTTTTTAGATATTTTTTAAAGCGTTTGCAAAGTGTTTAAGCCAAACTTTCTCTGCCTTCCTCTGCACTCTCTTTTGGCACGGCTCTCACCGGCTAGCGGCTCTCTGTTTATGTTTTTGCGGCAACGCTTTATTCGGGCCAGGACAGAGTGTTGTTGCTGCGGCAAGCTTGCACTGAGCCATGTGATTGTTTTGCTGGCTCGCTCTTTCCTCATATCCTGTGGCAAGTCCTTTTTGTTGTTTTTGCTTTCGCTGTTGCTGTTGCTGTTGCTGCAGCAGCTTTAAAAAGTTTTTTTTTGCTGCATTTTGTTGTCGCCGTCGTCCTGTCGCTGTCGTAGTCGTCGGTGCTTTTCGGGCCCAGAGGCTGGTCGCTCGGTCTCCGTACGGGCTAAAACGGAAAAACGGCAAAACTGCAGTGGCCAAAAGCCGATTTACAGTATTCCACGCCAGTTATGACGGCAGCCAGCCAAACGGCAAGAGCATTTCCGCACAGGACTCCCCCTACGAGTATAAAAAAAGAAAACATCCTATAAATTCGGTAGAGTGATGTGTGCATATGTGAAATAAATACATATTTAAGAAAAATTCGGAGCTTTCAATTTAAAACTCAGCCATACACACCACACACACACACACTTAAACGTTATGCAGTGAAAGTGAAAAATTCAGTGGCATCTTTTAGGCGCAGCGGATAAAGGCGATTCTTAGTACTTTCATTTTGAAGGCTTGCATTATCCATTCTTGTTTGGCCTGAAATCGGTGGTGCAGCTGCTTAAATGTATTTTAGTGACAGCTCGGAAAAACAGCCAGCCCCTTGGAGGGCCGGCAATCCATGGAGTATTCAAACACCACGGGTTTGAATCACATCATCAAGGAGGAGCCGCAGAATCCAGAGCCAGAGCACCAGCAGCATAACAAAACCAGGTTAGTACTTATAAATAGTGCGCACACATGCCCCATTTAATGACCACACCTGAGCCAAAGAGGTTGCCCCCTTATGGGCTTTCACTTTTCCTTTTTTTTTTTTATCTCTTATTTCAATTAACCATACAATTGCCCGGGATGAAATACAGAAAAAAAAAATGAAAAATATAAAAACAGCCGGGTAGAATGGGAACTTTTCAGCCACAGTTTGCCGCAGTTACTCCATCATTCATTTGGCTGACGAGTGAGCCACTAACCTACTTCCTTCACACACAAAAGCCGCAGTTGCAGGCACCAGCACCACCAGCAGCAGCATCTGCTGTGTTGCAGCCGTGGTTATTGTTGCTACTGGTGCTGCTATTGCCGGCATGCCACGCCCACACAATGCAAATGGGCGATTGCTATGGCAATGGTAGGAGGCCGCGGGGCAAGTCATCTCATGGAGATGACGTTGGCGTTGATGAGTAAAAATGTGAAAATTACATGGCAGGCGGATGGAAATAAACGACGACTGTGCATAGCAAATGATGAGATTTACTTCGTTCAGGCTTCGCTTTTGTTCAACGAAATAAAAAAAAAAGAGGAATCCTTAAAGCGATCGATGGGGTCTCTGAATAAATCAAAAGTTACATTTTGCAGATTTCGGCACAAAAGCGATAGAAGGCAAGGAGAGAAAATGAAAGAGGGCTCCTTGCCAAAACTAAAATGCCACATGGGCAAATATTTCACTTGTGCTTTCGAGCGGCGCATTGAAAAGCGAAAATATTGTGACAATATAAGCAGCAGGAACATCAGCAACAGCAACAACAACAGCAACAAAGCCAAGTGTCTTCCACTTGTGTGAAGTGCATAACAACGTGGAAATATTGTAAAGGCAAACTACACACATGCAGGGAAATAGCAACTAAATGCAATGACAGGCAACAGCATCACCAGCCACAAAGTGGAAGAGGCAAAAAAAAAAAAAAAAACGTATATACAAAAGGGACATGTGGAAATGCGAAAGGCAGCCGCAGGATGTGAGAAGATGGCAAGACGACGGTACATGCAAAGCATCTATTGATTTTTATCCCTTTGCCGCAAGCGCTGGCTTTGGTTTTGGCTTAAGCCACAGGGCGTATGAGTAATGCAGATTGCGTATACTTGATTTATACGGCCTGCTAGATGTGTTGCTTGCCTAAGCTAGTGCCATCAACTTCAGCCTGCAAGTGCAATAAATCTAAAGAAGCGGACCAACTTTAAGAACTGCTAAGACAAACACAAAGTCCTCTTACATTTCAAACACAACCAAACAATCGATCAACGTGGAGGAAGGGGGCGGAAAACTGGACGTTCTCAACCCTTTCCACCCACAAAACGTTGATGTTCAATAAATTCTGTGCCGGGCCTAAACTAGGGAAAATGGCCAATTACGAGGCAAAACGAGTTAAGAATTGTGCCAGGAGAGAGAGATGGCCGATACAGAAGCCCTCCGTCTTGCCCCATTCCCGCCTATATACATATATCTCTTGGAATAAATGGCCATAGCCGCCTGCACTTAACATGAATGGCCATTTTTCCAATCAATTACGTGCACTAGAGGCAGGGGGAGGGGGTTGAATGGCACCGGAAAATAGAGAAAAGAGTTGGAAACGTGCAAGAGAAATAAAGAAGGGATGGGTCTTCAGTGCGGCTTCTCCACTTGAGCTAACGATAATTATTTGAATTTTTAAGCAACATTGAAGCTTTCCTTACGCCGCAATTACCTTTGGCATTGACATTGTAGAAACCTGAGCAGGAAAAATTTCACCATTCATCGGCTATTTTGTTAGACTTTAAAATAGAAATTTTTAAGGTTAAAAAATGTTACACCTTGAGTTTCAAATTAATTTTTGTAATTTTTTGCAGACTGTCCCTTCTTGGTAACTGCTACATCAAGATTGAATTGCCGACCGGATCGCAGTCGATAGCTTTGGGCAGCCAGCGTTGTCTCAATACGCCCCCAACCACGCCCAGCAGTCCGCTGAGAGAAGCGCCCCAAAGTCCATCAGACGGACACATCTCCTCGCTGAGCTCGCACTCCGGATCGGGATGCAGTGACATCCTGTTGGGTGAGTAAACTAAAGTGAAGTTAAGTTGGGTCTCTATGCCGCCCTTTGAACCCCCGACTTTCTTTCCTACGTTTCGTTTGATTGCATTTCCCGGTGGCTGTTATTTATAGCTGCCCACGAAACAGATCATGACCTAGGGAGCCAAGAAATGCCGGCGAATGGCAACATTTTATTGAGGTTGCTGACATTCGTCGTCTCTAGTTCTCCTCCTCGATACCCCCTGTTCCTCCCACTCTGCGTCACTTTTGGCTTGGTTTACTCTACATGCCATCAGCACCCAGTGAAAAGTGTTGGCTAGAAATACTAGCCCGTCCTGCCACAATCTGTGCCACATTGCTGCTGTTCACTGGGGGAAAATACTCGTATTTGATTTTTAATCAATAATATAAAAATAATAATTATCTTTGTTGATGAAAGGGAAAAAGAGTTAATATAATAAATTGCTAATATTAATTTAAAAAATAACAAATATTTTATTTCCCTTTTGCGTATTCATTTTTCTCAGTTTAAGAGTTGCTTTTCCTGCCTGTGGCATCTCTGCATTTCACTGTCCGTATTTTCTGGCATTCTGACACTGGAACGCCGTCATGGGGATGGAAATATAATAGTTTCGAGCTTGAGTTGCGAATTTCAGCTGTTTGCCATTCCGCTTAAATTCGGCCATTGTTTGATCTTCGGCTGTTCGCAATGTTTCCTTTCCATTCGCTTGCCCATCGAGTGATAATTTCTAACGCTCACTGAGGCAAGTCTGTTTACCAGTCGAGTGCTATCAAAATCAGTCAGGCCTCAACAACAATAGCAACAAATGGTGGCGAAAGAATATGCGCAAAGTAAACAAAAGTCAGCATTCAAGCGGCTAAAATCTAGAATCTACACAGTGATTAAAAAGTGTTTATTAGTTTTTACGATTGAAAGCAAAGTTTTCGTTAATAGAAAACGAAAATATGCATGAAAATCTAATAGGAGGTAAAAAAAACGATTTATTCGAGATTTTGGGGTCTGGTAGCACAGTTAATTTCCAACCGATTGTGGTCGGAATGAATTTTTTATGCATTATTTTTCCACCTTATAAAATCTGTATTCAAGCTTTAATCATTTTCAGAAAAAAATATTTTTTCATTTTTTTGACATTTTTATGACCTACCCCCTTACAAAATTTTTGAAAATCGAAAAAAATTTTTTTTTCGAAATTAAAAAAACCTTAGATGAGGTTTCTTTAGGCTGGAAAATAGTTGTCTAAAAATGTATGCCATTTTTATTTACTAACTTTTTTGGCTAAGTTATGAGCTGTTTAGTACGAGAGTTCAGACATTTTTGGGATAAAAATGAATGGAAATAAATTTCTTTGAATATGACATCTAACTTTTACTACTTACTTTCTTACATTACTCACCTTGACTATCTTTTTGATCAGTTTTGTTCTGTGTAGAATCTAGAGGCTTTCGGCAGTGGCATAATAATAAGCAAATAAATAAAACTAAACGCATTTTGCACCACTTTGTTGCTGCCCGCGCCTAGTTCTGGCTACTGTTGTTGCTGTTGCTGCCTTAGATGTTGTTGCTGTTAGTGTTGCCTCGGATGTTGCCCATGACGTTGCCCACAAGTCATTGAACTTATAGCGGCAACAACGTAGAGCCAACAATAGCAAAATAAATAAAACGCGAAAAAAAAACGAAGAAGCCAAGGCAACCACCCGTCCCCCTTCCCCCTATCAGATGATAAGTGAAATGCAGTAATAATAAGAATAGTGCCTTCACCCCCTTTTTTCACCCGACCATCTTTAAACAACTCTCACTCACACACATACACGCGCACTCATGCACACTCAATTCGATTACACAATCTTTGCGAGCGGCATTTTCATTTTTCTCTTCCTGGTTCGTCGTCATCGCGTGCCTTTGTATGGGTGAGCGTCTCTGAAGGAGTGTGCGTTTCGTATCTGTGTGCCTTGTTGAGATCAGGTTTTATCGCCCGACGCAATCGGACATATAGTATAGTATGGTATGGAGTATGGGTGGTGAGATCGGTGGGGGCGGTGAAGTTATCGCTTCGATTGGTCGTCGTACTTCGGCTTTTCGCTTTCGCAGAGGATCGTGGATATATAGCTCCGGCGATCGCCCAGTTGCCGTTTTCTTGTTATTTACAGTTTCTGGTTGCTTTCGCTGCCCGTTGGAAAAATGGCAAGCCAGCATGCAGTTGACGTCGCCGTTGCCGCTGATCATTGACTTTCGTTGGTTCCCTTTTGCGCCAAGCATTCGTCAGGAAAATTGTTAGGGAAAATAGGGAAAAGTTCTTTAGAACTCATAGTTGCTTTATATTCTTAGGTATAGTTAACTTTATACTTTCAAAACTTAGGGTCATTATGATCTCTTATGTCTTTATAACTTTTCTCAAAAATATGTATATTTATTTATAAAATTTAACGTCTTTTCTTGTCTAAATTCAAAAAACATAAACTATACAAACAGTATTTTGAGAAATATTTTTTTGTATTTTTAGTTTATGGCTTTCTCTTAACTAAAAGACTATAAAAAAAACGTCAGCAACTTGCAAAATTTGTGACTCACAGTCTACTTCCTCAATATATTTCAAATGATCTTCAAAAATAATTCTTAAAAGAGTGTGTTCTTGTGCCAAAAAACTAAAGTTTACCACTTTCTTTTGAGAAGAAAAGAACGAAAAAGAAAAACAAACGCAGCAGCAACATGCAACATTTAAACTTCCGCATTGCAGAATTTTCTCTCCCACTCGGAGAGCCCTCTGCCGCTATGCCTTTCTCTTTCCCGCCTGATCAGCCAAAGGTTCTTTGACCCCCCTTTAAGGCGCCCCCACTTCAGCTCTCTCTTTCTTTCAAACACACACAATCTCCCATATTCTATTGCCCTCTCCCTCGAGGATAGTGCAAACTAAGTAACGGTTCGCTCTCTACCTCTTGCTCTATCTCTCTCTCTCCTTCACTGCACTAGTGTGCGTGAAATTGATCTTGAGTGGAGTGTTGTTGCACTTGGAAATGTTGGAAGTCGACGGCGGCAGCGACGTTGGCAGCGGCAATAGAAATTGAAAATAGCAACCAGGAAAAGAGTTTGCAAATGGAAAAGTGCAGCAACAACATGAAGGCAGCAACAGCGAGAGTGGCAATGCATGTTGCTGCGGTGCTGTTGCTGTTGCAAATCGAGTTGTAGCTGTTGTGGTTGTTGTAGTTTAGTTTGCTTTTGTTGTTGCTGCAGTTCTTGCAGCTGCTGTGGTTCTTGCTGTTGCAGCTGATTTGACTGTTGCTGTTGCAGCTAGTGTTGCTGCTGTTGTTGCTATTACATCTGATGTTGTAGCTGTTATTGGTGTAGCAGTTTCTAATGTTGCTGCTGTTATGCCTGTGGTTCTTATTGTTGCAGCTTGCGTTGCTGTTGCTGTGCCTTTTCCTGTTGCTGCTGTTACTTTCCTAGTTGTTGCTGGTGTTGCTGCTGTTATTGCTGCTGCTGCTGCTGTTGATGTTGCTGTTGCTGTTGGTGGAGATTAGAAAGATAGAACCTCCAGTGTCTCGCAGCACATTGACTCTCTCTCTGTCCGTCCCGCTTCATCCTCAACCCGATCTCCTCCAGAGATTCCGCCTCGTGCTGTGGCGGCGGCGGCGGCGCTTCGCAGTTTTCCCACTCCATTGGGCCACACAGCCGCATTGCATTCTATTTTCCTGCTCTTTCCACACTCACACCACCGCTCAAAATCACTCACACACGCTCACAGGGACACGTTCTTGTTCTTCTGCGTCGCTGCCGTCGTCGTCTTGGACTTTTGTCTGTTGTCGTAGGTTCTGCAGTTTGGCTTGGATTTTCCCTGGCGCATTTGGAGCGCTGCGAAGTTGGCGCTTGGATCTCGACGAGGCGAGAGTTTCGTACGCGCGATCACCATTTCTCTTTCCTCAAAAACAAAATCGAATCGCGAGTGTGCCGCCCCTATAACAAACTTATATCATATATCGGCATCGATTGGCCGATTTTGGAATACGCTTGAACTTGACAACGAAGGACATCGAATGCAACACGGAAGTGAATTGAAAATTTATGCAATATAAGCTATTATGAATGCTAAGTGCAAGTGAAAAATGAAAAAAGAAGAGGGGAGGGGACTGGGAAAGAGAAATGCGGGGTGTTAGTGATAATTAAATTAATCCAATTATGGAGAAATTGCGCAGACAAGTTAGGGAGGGTAATTTGTCATGATAGAATTGTGTGTGATAGATTGGGAAATGGCGAAGTGATAAGATCTTTTAAGCTTATATCACAATATGAAAATTGGAGTTATTAAACTAATTAACTTAGGATCTTTCTGATTAGTTCTTCTCTTTTTTTAATTTGCAAGCTAATGTAATTTTGTATTTTTGAGTTACAAGCAGTTAGTGAGGGTTCTTAACTTTTTAAAGTTAACTTTTCTACTTTGAAATCATTTTGTTTAGAGAATCCGATTAAGCCAAAAGTTAGATAAATACAAAAATGTAGGATCTCAGTTTAATATACATTAGAATATGCTAAATCCTCCGATCTTTCCTTAATTAAACCGCAGCTAACAAAAAAAGCTAATAAAAAAGGAAAACTTATCCCAAAGACTCTGATTGTTTTTGAAAAACCTCTCTCCGAATTCCCCATAAAGTGCCAAACAAGAAAAAATCGCTGAGATTTTCCACAAACATGCTGAGCAGGCGCCATCGCGGGTTGCCAACATCGATTTCCGCCAGCAGGACGATGATGAGGATGATGGATGGCCATCTAACCGATCCGATCCAAGCAACATGGATGTATACCAAATAGAGCTGGAGGCACAGGCACAAATCCGCTCCAATCTTCTGGTCGAAACCTGTGTGAAGCACTCGTCGGAGCAGCAGCAGCAGCTCCAGGTCAAGGAAGAGGACCTTATCAAGGATTTCGCTCGAGACGAGGAACAGCTAAGCGAAGAGGAGGAGGAGGACGAGGACGAGGAGGAGGAAGAAGGCGAAGAAGAGGACGAGGACGACGAGGCAGAATTGGAAGACGAGGACGAAGGCGAGGGAGCCCTGCTGCCGGCGGTCAATTTTAATGCAAATTCAGACTTTAATTTGCATTTCTTTGACACACCAGAGGACTCGTCCACCCAGGGGGCCTACAGTGAGGCCAATAGCTTGGAATCCGAGCAGGAAGAGGAGGAGGAGCAGCCAAAACCTTCGCAGCAGCAGCAACATCACCGGGAATTGCAGGATTGCCTAAGTGCCATTGAAGCCGATCCATTGCAGTTGTTGCAGTGCGATGATTTCTACAGAACAGCAGCTCCCATTGAGAGTGTTGCAGTTAGTTTAGGCCCACAGCAACAACAACAACTCACCCACCAGCAACAGCAGCAGCAGCAGCAACAACAACAACACCCTGGACAGCAGCAACATCAGCTCAACTGCACGCTGAGCAATGGTGGAGGTGCTCTGTACACCATCAGCAGTGTGCATCAGTTCGGTCCGGCCAGTAACCACAACAGCAGCAGTTCCCCCTCCTCCAGCGGTGCCCACTCATCGCCGGATAGCGGCTGTTCGTCGGCCTCCTCCTCCGGATCATCGGGATCCTGTGGATCCTCCTCCCACGCGGTCTCCTCCTCGTCGTCGTCCAGCTGCTCGGAGCATTTCGCGCGGAGTACAGTTGTCAATGTCAGCGGCCACGCTCATACATCCTCGTCAGCGGTCAGCAGTAGCAACAACAACAACAGCAGTACAAGCACCAGCAACAACAACGCCAACAGCAACAACACCAACAGCAACAACAGCAACGTCAACCCCGCAGCAACATCTTCATCTGTTGCGCATCTAAACAAAGGTACGTGCAACTTGCAACTGACACAGCGACTCTTCCGCGTTGTCGTCTCCTCAGCGGACCATTGTTGTCGCTGTTGGAAATTATGTTCAATAAATTTGCATTCATTGCATAACAGCAGCAGCAGCAGCAGCGGCAGCAGCAGCAGCAGCAACAACAGCAACAGCAATTGAAAGTCGTTGGGGCTTCGGTTTCTTCTCCTTTTGAGGAAACTATTAAAGCGCAGCATGAAAAATGTGAAAATGAATATAATTCCCTGTTATTGGCCAATGGCTGTTGCTGTTGCTATTGCTGTTGCCGTTGGTGTGTTCCTCCTTTCCTTGAGCTCGACGAGGAAATTGCTTTTCATGTTGCAGGTCTGTCAATGCGGTTGCATTTGCCGTTGCCGTTGCGATTGGGTGCAATTGAAAGCCATGGAAGAAATGTTTTCATTTTCATAAATCGCCTTGAATTGGTCTCGGCTCTTGGATTGCCTTGGATATGGCATTTGAATGGACTTAGCCATCGGTCGGCCGGTCGGGAGTTGTTGGTTACTCCAACGTAATGGGTACTAAGAACTGAGCCGGAAAATGCAACAAAAATTTAGTTTCATAACTACAACGGTCAGCTGGTGATTACACAGGGAAGAAAAAGGTTCAGAAACGGAAAAAGTTTTTACGTTTCAATCTACTCTAATCGCAATTTCAATCCTTAAAAGAACTTTTTCTAAGAACTATATAAAACCCTTCCCAATTTTTCACAATGTAAGTCCTACATTTTCACTGTACACTTCTTCAACCATAAAAACCATAAGCACTTGGGCAAATTTGTCTTGGCCGGACTTGCTAATTGCCTGGATTTGCTGGCAAGGATTTCATTTTGCGGCCCGCAACGGCAACATTTAATTGCAGCAATTAGTGCGGGCAGTTGCAGGCGAATGCAAATGGCAAGCAAATTAAATCACTGAAAAGGAGGGTTACTTCATGGCTAGAGGGGGTGGTGGTGGTAGAAAAATCAAATAGGAATTCATCAAGGAAAAGTCAAAAACTCGACTGATTTTCCTTGGCACTTCAATTGATATAATGTCTGTGCCATTCGCTAGTTGCCTTCTCCACTCAATCAGTTGTCTTCGACCAGATAAATGCAAGAAATAGAAATGGAAAGGAGGGGGGGCAAAAAATCGAGGAAAATATGAAGCCTTTGTCGTCTATCGACCATGCCTCTGACTTGTCTGACAACGCGGAAATGCCAAGCAGTTTTCCGCCAGCCCTCGGCCCGCACCCCTTTTTTCTCTCTTCGGCTGGGTAAACAATGGCGTTTCAAATTGTCAACTTACAAAAGCCACCAAATGATTTGCATTTGAACGCGGCGCGAAAATGAAAAGCAGGCACTTGAGTTTCCTTTGGGTTTTTCTTTTTCATTCCTGCCCGGGGGCCGACGACATTTTCCAGACAGCGTTGTTGTTGCTGTTGCTATTGCCGGCAGTCCAATGGTGAAAATTCAATTTGCAATTGCACAAGCGCGTAACGCGCCTTGCACTGGGAAATAATGTAGATTATTAAGAATTCATTTATATTAGTAAACAGAAGATGTTAATGCTTTCTTCATGATATTTACGAAACAAGTTGACGAAAAACTTAAATAGTTATTTTAGGAAAAGAATTTGAACCTGAACATAACTTAAAGTTTCTTTACCTTCCATTTTAATATTAAACATTTTTACCATCTGTAAATTTATAAAATCTGATTTAATCATTATCTTAATCTTTATCACAAAGTAAACTAACACCTTTCATTCATCATCACTTCTTTCTGTGTGCCCCAATCTTTTCCATTTCTTTCCTCCTGCCTGTTTGCCGGCGCGTGCAAGTTGCACATTAATTTCATTTTGTTTCGCATTTTTGAGGTGTGGCAACGCCAATTGGCACAGCGGCAACTAGCAACTAGCAACTGGCAACAAGCAACACCAACAACAACAACGGCAGTTCAAACTCCGCGCTTAGTTCATTTGCCTCTTCCTCTTGCATTAGAAAAGCGAAAAATAAAAGCAACAAAATGCAGTCAAATTGAATTCGAAATGAAATGCCAAGAAGCAAACATTGCCGTCTGGCTCCAGTTTTTCTTTGCTGCTTTTCTGTTTTTCCTTTTCTTTCTTTTTTTTTTTTTTTTGTAATTTGCAATGCAAATTTTTTTCGGCTCTCGCATAGTGAAAATTGTGCGGCTGCAGTTTTTCCTCGTGACTGCCGTTTTTACAGGCAATTTATTGTAGGCTGTGGCGTATACGTGATTTTTTGGCATTTTCTTCTTATCGCACATCGCCACCAAGTTGAATGCACTCTGTGGGCATTGCATTTGACTTTGATTGCTAGCCGGCTTAAGGATGATTAAGATTAGGACTTTGAGAGTCTTACAATTTGCCGGAAAAATTGATTTTTGTGGGTAAACTCAATGACTTGTGACAGTTTTGTCGATTGATTATGACTGCAAGTGTGACACTTTTCGGGGGCAGATAGCGAGTGGGTGATATGGCGACAGTGACAGCAAACTCATTTGCCAAATTGCACAGCGACTGTTGCACATGTGGCGTATGAGCAATGTGCCATTGCATAAGCGACCAGCTGGACAACTTTCCAGCTGAGGAAATGTGTTAACCAATGCATTTTTCCTTTGCAGAGCAACAGCAGCAGCAGCAGCAGCAACAGCAGCCACAGACGACGACACAGCTGCAACAGCAGCAGCAGCAGCAGCAACAACACCAACAGCAATTGCAACACCCGCAGCAGCAATCTTTTGGCCTAGCGGACAGCAGCAGCAACAACAACAACAACAACAGCAACGGCAGCAGCAGCAACAACAACAACAGCAACGGCGTCTCCTCGAAATCATTTGTGCCCTGCAAAGTCTGTGGCGACAAGGCATCGGGCTACCATTATGGTGTAACCTCCTGCGAGGGTTGCAAGGTGATATATTATATAGTTGATATATCTTTAAAATATATATTTTATTATAAACTATATATCCTGGCAGGGTTTCTTTCGTCGCAGCATCCAAAAACAAATCGAATACCGCTGCTTGCGGGACGGCAAGTGTTTGGTCATCCGGCTGAATCGAAATCGCTGCCAGTATTGCCGCTTCAAGAAATGCCTTTCCGCTGGCATGAGCCGCGATTGTAAGTACCAAACCTTTACTATACCTTCTGGGGGCCAAGAAATATGATTAAGCCAAAATGCCAGCCAACGTTTTTGGGGCCAAAGTGAAGGGGAGGCTGCACCTTCTAGCTTTTTGTGCCTCTTGATAACTTTATTAGCTGCGAAACCACTGGCAGATTTCTGCCAAAAGATTGCAGATTGTGTCAGTTGGCTGTCGGTGGAAATTGGCAACTGTAAGATAAAGTTTTAGAAGAGCAATTTAGGATGCACTGGAAGAAAATGAGCGGAGATTGAATATAGGAATCTAACTTAGCTCTCCTATCCAGTAAGTAATACATATCATAGCCTGGCAAACAACATGTTTTCTCTTAACTCCTTAAGCCTTTCCTTAGCATTTCCCCATTTCAGCTTTATTACTTTACTTACCAGTAATTGAATCAGCGAACATCGGTTAACTAGTTAACTAATGCCCCTCTAAAACGTTGTTAAACCTTTACTTAAGATAATTCGCCCATTTAAAAACTCAATTCGCGGGCAGAGGCCGTTCATCCAGGCTTAAAACGAGTTTCAAATCCGCCCAACCTTTTAGCTGAGCACCCATAAACAACTCCCCACTGGCCGCAGAAATGTGAAGCGGGCGGAAACCACAGCTTAAATGCAGTTGAAGCTGGGTTTGCCACAAAATTTTCCCCTTTTTGCCTTGGCTTGGGAAATACTTCCTGGCCAAGCCAAAAATCCACCCACGGACCAAGCTAAAATGAAATTAGTTTTTATGACTGTTGTCAGCGGCGGCAACACGAGCAACAGCAGTACACCAGCAGCAACATCAGTAAGAGCTGCAAGGGTTCCCTTGGCTTTCAAATGCAATTTATTTGATGTTGCGCAATTAATTGCCCAAAAAAAGATCGGAAACAAGAGAGAGGCAACATAAAATCAGGCAACTAGTCTGTTGTTGTTGCTGCTGTCACTGTTACTGTCGCCGTTGCTGTCGCTGTTGGTGTTGCTGTTGCTGCACGCGAGCAACATTTATTAGCCGAGTCTATTGGCTGCAACATTTGTTGCAATTTTTTATGGCATTTGTCTCGCGCAGAGTCGGGGCCTATACAGTGTTGAGCAAACATTTCCTTAATTTTCCTCGACGCCCACGCAAAATGGAGCCACAAGGAAATCCTCCTCGACCCACTCGGGCAAGTCGTGGAGTTGGCTTTTTACCACATTTAATAGGTTTGAGTTGAAGAGATTTTTCCTTAAAGCCGACTTTAAATGCCTTGAAATTTTCCTTTCAAAATCATTAAAGAGTTTACCTAATTACCAGATTTTATTATTCTTTTATTAATCTGTTAACTGCTTATTGGCCATTCTAGACACTTAGATTTTTAAAGACTGAATACCCAATAAGCTTTTAGAGCTCAACACCCAACAGATTGAAGATGTAATAAAACATTTTTATGGGTAAGAGGGTCTTAAAAGTTACTTCATCATTTATGGCCCATCGTTACTGCCATATTTTATTTGCCCAGGATTAATGATGTTCCTTTTGCAGGGCATTGAAGTTTCGTCTAGAGGTGTAGAAACTTTTCCATTTTCCATATTTTTCGCTGGCATCACTTTAGAGTTTCTTCTTCCCTGATGGGACGACTTTTCCTTTGCCCCAATGCATATGGAAAGTTCAATAATTTACTTAAATTGCTTTTAAGGCAAGTTTTGAATGGGATGTTGCTGCTGCTGCTGTTGGTGGGCGGTTGCAACTTTCGAGGCGCCTTTTGATTTTTGCTTGCTCGCTTTAATTAGACTTTGCCACAGACTTTGTCGAATCGTTTGGGGTTATTATGGCTTATGGTTGCAATGGCAATGTTGCAGCTAGCTGGCAATTGCTGATTGCCGATTGCTGTTGCCGTTGCTGTTTCAGTTGCCGTGAGAGATTTTCCAATTAAGTTGGCTCAGAGAGCTGCTAAGCCTAAAACCCTGTGCAAATGTTGGAGTTTTTGGATTTTAATGGGTCAAACCATTATTACCCCGCACTTCTTCTGCACTGCAAAAAAAGGGAAAAAAACAAATGCAATTATTTTGCCTGCGTGTTTGTGTATGAGTGGGCGTGGCATGACTTTTATTTAATTTGCAAAGCTTTTGTTGGCAGTGGCAGAAAGTACAATGCAAAAAAGAGGAAAATAACGCGATGCTTGCCAAGCTGAAATTGCATTTCGGATGTTGCAGCAGCAGCAGCAGCGGCAGCAACAACAGCAACACCGTCGACGTCAACAGCAACACTTTGCATGGCTCTACAGGAATTTGGGTCAAACATAAAGCACATAACACTCACACACACAGCCACCCAAAGTTTTCATGCCGGCATGCGGCATTTTGTGGCAATATCAACATCGCTGCCAGCAACAGAAACAGCAGCAACTATGCCATGCCGGCAGCAACATCTGCCTTCCTTTCCCTAAGCCAATTATTTCCCAAACAATTTGATAAACTTTTAGTTTATATTTATTCGCATTTAGGCTAAAATGAAGAACATGAACACAGAAATGCTGAAAGTATAAGGCAACATTGCTCAGCGAATAAGTTTATCGTAATTACTGTCTGCCATTCTCTCGACCTCTTAGCTTGGTCCATAAAAGGGAAATATAAGGGTGGCCAGCTTTTAATATGTTAAACTTTAAGTTCAATTACAACTTTCTTCTTAATATATTATTATAACCTAAATATTATTAACACTTTTGATCTTATAAAGGCAGCTCCAAATAATATTCCTAAGCTTTCTTAGGTCACCCTCTTCTTGCTCCACTGAACTCTGATCCAAACTTGCTGGCTGTAATCAAATTTATGTGAGAAGATTCTTCGAAGTTGGCTAATTGAAAAGTTTCCGGCGTGCTCTCTTTCTCGGCTTTTCTACTCGTATTTGTAATGCCGCCGTCAATCAAATTGGCCGCAAATCAAAATGCAATTAAAGAGCCAAGCGGGCCAAAGAACTTTTTGGACAAAGTTCTGGTTGTCTGTTCTTGCCTTGTCTGCTTGGGAATGGGCACATTGCTGTCGCTGCCAGCGGCGACATCAGCAGCAACATCAACCGCCAAGGCGACACAGTAACACAGAATCAAACTGCTCTCGACTCAATTGTAGTCAATTTGAAAGCCAACTATCAAATGTCAGCTACAAAGATCCAAGAATCGTTGCCACGACTCTTCTAGACGCCCAAAATCGGAGTGCAAAACGAAACTGTTGCTGCCAAAAACTTCATGTTGCCGCTGTTGCTGCTGCTGCTGCGCCTGCGCAGTGACAATAAAAGCAACAACAATAGTAAAAGCCAGAGAGCAAGACAGACTTATAATTGTGGCGTAAACTGGGTCAGTTGCCAGCTCAGAGTTGGCCAGGCCAATCCAAATCCAAAAGCCAGACCCCGTTGACTGTATGTACCGAAGTGCGAATGCTCATTGTTGCTGCTTGCTGTTTGCTGGTTGCTGGTTGTTTGTTGCCTGTTGCCTGTGTTGGTTGTTGGTTCTTTGACTGGCAGCCCATTGTGGCTGCTCGCTCTGTTTCTGCGCTTCTGACAATTGTCTTTTGTTTGGCCGTCGGTTACATTAAAGTTTAGCCACAGCCACAGCTTTATTGCCATTGTCTGGTTGGCGAAATTTTATTATTATTTGGCAATAGGCAAAATGCAGAGAAAACATTCTGGAATATTGCACGCTCTTTGATTGGCGGCTGTCTAAAAGTCATATATCTGTTTATTGTTAGAAGTTGAATGGTTAGTATCAGTATTATGATAATGTGAGTTGAGGTATTTCCTCTATTTTCTGGTTTTTACCAAAATAACAAGTTGTTTGTGTTTGTTAAAATATCTAAAAATAATAACGTCACCTTAAAGCTCACAGTTCACCATATATATATCTCTTTAGATTCCATTCAACCTTTTATCGATTTCCTCGTGAAGTTCACCAAACCTCCGAACTGAACTCCCTCAGCGCCAGCCTTCCGCTTCCTTTGAAATTCCCTCAGCGCCTTTCACTTTCAGTTGCCGTTCATTGCCGCTGCCGCTGAGCTGCTTCCGCTGCCATTGCCCAGTACCACCCCGCCCTCTCCTCCTTTTCACACACACAAAAAAAAAAACCAAAGTCCAATGCTCGCAATGTTTATGACTTTTCGCGAAACAAATCAGCCGCAACAGCAAACACAAAATGCAATAAAAACAAAAACACAAACAACGGGCGGGCTAAAAAATAAAGTAAGTAAAATATTGCCGAAAAAATTTGTAGCAACTGAAAGATCATTTAATTTTTTAATTACGTATTTAAAGTGTTGTTATTGCCGCGCGACTCGTTTGTAAACAATTCGCCAGCCTGGCTGCATAAGCTGAAAAGTTGAGTAAACAATTAAGCCAAGGAAAGACAGAAAAAATCGATCGTTAAACAATTTAATATAATAATAACAAAAGCGGATTGCACTCACACCTGTTGCAGGTGAATGAGTCAATCTTCTGGACAGCGAGTTGATGTTGCTGCTTCTGCTGCTGGTGCTGTCGTTGCCCTCGGGGTGTTGCAACATATATTCTCTTTGACTAATTGCTAATGTTAATTTATGCCATCGCCTTTGTTGCGGCTCATTGTTCTCGTATGTGTGTGTCACATGTTGCTGCCGTGTTACGCATGCGTGCCCCGCGGCAACATCGCTGGCAACGCGAGCAATCTGTCCACCAATTACAACGAAACTCGTTTGTAGCCGCCCGGTAGATGTTGCCGCCGATTGTTGCTGCATTTGTCCCTCCATTTAAAGTTCAATTAACACCTTGTCGCCTTGCTAAACTTCAAAGTAAAACTAAATTATAGACAAAATCTAAACGTCTAATTATGTTTATTTTGGCTTTAAGGGAGATGGAGATAAAATCTAGATTTATATCTTTAAATACTTCCTTAAATCCTTAAGTTTAAGTACTTATTAGTATCTTCATAAAGTATTCACCTCATCACTCTTTATTTCCCGAGTTTATCGACCCCTATGACCCTTAATAACAAACGCT